ATATGTTTTTTCTTCAATCTAGCCATTTTGATTTGCATAAATACTCCCTACAAAACGATATCATAGCCAGTGCTTTCCAATATTGACATTATTTTCGTTTGTTAACGTTTGTGAATCGGCAGAGGTCAGATTGCCTGACATTACGAATTGTTGAAAAAAACTAAGCCGAAGCGAGAGCAGGTAAAATCAAGGCTTCAACAGGCATTGCATTCCTGTTCTTTTTTTTATTATATATTGTCTAGTTGAGTATGGTGTATGCATATATACACGGATAGAAGGTCAGATTCCTGGGATTTTATAACTTAACAGCCAGGTTTTCACACTTGATTTGAAGATAGACAATGTTTCACATTTTCGAATGGAAGGTGGCAACGAATTCCATAGAATTGATGCATTGTATTTGTACTGAAAAGTCCTTGAACTAAATTTCTTCATGTTATAAACTGGTACATCGATCAATAGTTTACTCTCAGATCTCAGTGACCTTTCTGGTTGGTGCTGTTTGATTTCATGTTTTGTATGTCAGTGTTAAAATTTTAAAGTTAATTCTCTCGCGTACCGTACTCGGAGCCAGTTAAGATTATTTAAGACGGGAGTGATGTGTGATTTTGATCTTGCTTTAGTCACAATGCGTGCAGCACGATTTTGGATCCTTTGCAACTTTGAAATTTGTTCTTTCCTTACTCCAGAAAGTACGGCATTGCAGTAGTCAATTCTGAACAGCATGAATGATCGAGCCAGTGCAACTGCAGCACCTTCAGGTATAACTTTATGTGAGAGTTAAAACTGAAGTTTTAATCAGTCGTCTATGTAAATAACATATTAATCATATAAATATCTCTCTGTACATCAGTCTGCTATGTAAATAACATATTAATCATATAAAGATATCACTAAAGGATCTGTCTGTAATAAGCATGCATTGTGTTTATCATTAAAGTTCGTCTTTTGTGGGAGGTGGGGGGGGGGGAGAGATAAACACTGCAACTTGGGAGCTAGATCTGTAACCACACTCAAGCATGAAGTTGGACAAGGGCCTGGTAAGCAACAGCTTCTTGTTAAATGTAATGCAATAGCCTGATGACAGACTTTAAAATTACATTACTTTAATCTATAGCCCTAAATTACAACTTAACAACTATATATTGAGTCTTAAAGAATATAATGTTTTGTTGTTTTTTTTAAACAGAAATGATTAATACATATCATATTGCTTATGTAAGTAATAAAGTTACATACTATTCCAGCCATCACCATACATCCCATTTGATCAACAATCAACACATCCAATGCAGACGGTGGACTACAGAATCTTTGTTGAAATATTTGAAATATGGATTTCACTGTTTTAGGCGTGTCTTTCAGGGCAACTGCCAAATGTCCTAATGTTAAAATAGTATTTGTCGAAATTAGGTTTGATTCCCTGTAAAATATAAAGCCAATTATTCATAAATTCAAAAGAAATTAATTTGAAATTAGAGTACAATTTGTATGTATTGTGTTAAAGGAATTATATTCAAGAATGGAGAAAAGTTATATTTCTAAACAAGGGCTGCATGCATAAACAAATTTGATCTACCAGTAGCCTTAAAAATACATGCTGAATCAAATCATATTTAAAACTTAACTGAAATTATCTCTTCTAGTAATCTATTTCAAAGTTATTTAGAAAAAAAATAATAAAATAATTGTCTATTGTAAATTAAAAATCTTGATGGTTTAATTAAAGTGTTTTGTGCCAGTAAGAAAGTGCAAATGAATAGTCTATTTTATTCAAAGCTAATGTTTTTTTATTTTTCCAAAAAGTTGAGCATTATCAATATAGCTAATATTATAACTAATATCTACATAAATAACTTAATTAATCAAAATAGGCCTAAATCTGTATGATGAATCTGTGTCCCACAAGGAATTATTTATCAATTTGGTTAAATCTTTACAATTATTACTAGATTTATTATGTCCACTATAAATAAAACTGCTATTTTCTCAAAGTGTATCCACTGAAAAAGTGCTGTGATTCCAGAAGATGTAAAATTTGATAAAAAAAACCCAACAATTGTGCTCACACAAATATTCAATTATTCGAATTTAAAAAGTTGTGAAAGGCTATTTGAAGTTAACTAATCCTATTTGCTATATCCAATTTCAATTAAAACTACTGGAGTATTTAAAAGTAAGTATAAAACAATAATATTCAAAATTAAACAAACAAATCAAGGAAAATATATTGATCTGAAATGTTTATAGTTTCTAGATACCTGAAAATATATAAAAAAAACTGTCCACAATTGATCATTTTGACTCATCAAATAAATATTGGAATGCTAAATTCAATATTCGATGTGAACTTTAGGAAACATATTTTCCATTTATAAAAATTAGTGCTTACACAGTGCTTACACTTCAGAGATAAACAATGACCCCCTATCAAAAAAGAAATCTTACAATTTTGAATACAGATGCAGCATATTGAAATTTGAAGTTTATTAAAGAAAGTTAAAGAAAGATTATCAATTCCAAGACAGAAGAATATGTTGTTATATTTTGTTATTTTAGACATTCACAAATTAAAGCAAAATATTTTTCGCTGAACATAATGTCCTAAATTTCTATTGAATTTTAATTCATACATCTATAATTTAAAAAATAAAAACAATAATCAAAAACTATTCTGTCATGTCTACATAATGACAATCTAAAGGTATTAGATAAAAATATTAATTGTAATTTATTATATTATGTGCTTTAATAATGTATTCTAATGCTCAAACTATTATATCTGTGTATAGTGTAATCAAAAAAAAAAAACAAAACAAAAACATAGCTAAGCACACTATATAATGCTAGAAAAATTGCATTAAAATTGGACAACAACAAAAATTCTTTGTTTACTGGTTTAAGATCCAAAATAATAAGAGAGATGGAAGGGTTCCTAGCCTGATTGGACTTCAGATGTGGAGAAATTATTCTATTTTGGAATAAATTACAAGAAATTTAATTTTAAAAATATCTAATTAAGACATTACAAGATATCACTATTGCCGACATTGCTGCTTTTCAAATTCAGTGCAGATATCTAATTGTTGTTACCGTTTATAAAGAAAGATCGGTTGCCAGGCAATGAAACATACGCTCACAGCAGCTAAGTCCGCCGGGCAGTCAAGTGTTGTCGCATATTTTTACTTTTGTCAGTAATGAGAACATTTACAACACATGAAAATCTGATTACAAGTAATAACCCATGAAGTAATTATCAGAAAACATTAGAATTTGTTTCAATTGTTTGTCTCATGACAATTTATATTAACTTTAGCTGCTAGAGTGAATGAATGAATGAAATGGAGTTTTAGCCTCTAGAGCATCCACAAGATTTTTCAAAGTGATCAAGGGCCTTAACTCTGGCAGTAATTAAATGAAATTGTTGAAAATGAATAGGATTCTCTGTCTCGTGACTTTAAACACTGTGTATAAATTTAAAGTCAATCGGATATTAACTTTAGCCTGTAGAGCGTCAACAATATATTTCAAAAAGATCATGGGCCATAACTCTGGCAGAAATCAAAAGGCTTCTTCGTCTCATGATCTTACACACAGTGTATAAATTTAAAGTCAATCGGCTATTAACTTAAGCCTCCAGAGCATCAACAAGCAATTGTGGACGCTGGATGGGCGGGGATGACGACAATATACGACCACATTTCAATGTTGGCTTATAAAAAGCATACAATATATCAATATATAAATTTATTCATCCATACCTAGCCACTTTTAATTTGAAGTAAACAAAGGAAACTTTTGGTATTGCAGGACATAGTTTTCACTTAAAAGTAACACAAAAGAACAAAACTTTTACATAAATATCCAGCAAAATAAGAAACTTCATGACATTATTTCTGACATCTTTGGATCTTATGTGTAATATCAATGCTTTTTACAGTAACATCTGTATAAGCAGCCACTTCTACTCAGCGACATCCCCTTCTAAGCTGTCACTATAAATCCCCCCCTGTAGAAATTCTTTGGTTTTAACTCTTAGCGGCCAGCTCTCACTATTTTAGTTATAAATTTAACAAAACATTCAATGGCTACTGTCGATACATCCCGTAGCAGAGCCTTCGCTAATCCCATGATTAACAGTTAACTCTCTGCCCCCCTCCCCCCCACGGATCAGGTAACAGTGAAAATAAGAATTAACCAAGGATTATCTCTTAATTGGTCATTTGTTTTATTAGATGTTTTCACTATAACAAAACATTATCTACTGATTGAATATACAGTTTTGTCACTATCATCTAGTACCAAATCTATTTTCTATCAGCATTATGTCGCTGAAACAAGTTTTAGTGCCCCTATATAATATTATATTATACGGAGGTAAATCCCCCAAGATCGCCGAAAAATTCTCCGAGTCTTTTTGACATGAGCTTTTGGATAAAATAAATATATTTCATGGATTTTCTTCACAAAAAGGGATAAATATTATCAAATACAGAACAAAGGTAGGCATTAGTATTGAGTCAAATAATTTTCTTTCTCATTGCAAGTTACGGGAACTGTCAAATTTACTGATGCATCAATGTTTGCTGCAGATGCATTGATGCATAAAATTTTACCTGATATCAGCACTAACAAACACTGAGATTGTATTAAGAGGTCACTCCTAATAAGCTTCCAGTTATGAAAATTCCCCTGAGTGGCTGCTAAATACAGATTGTACTTTATGTGTACTTTATGTTGTTTTAAGGTTATGTTCTTTGAAATACCTAATTTATGACATGTCATCCAACTGAAGTGAAAATCAAAACAGTCAAGACATGGTAATATGACCAAAACTAGAGCTCTGATTAGGTCTATCAACAAGGACAGCTGACTTTAATCTTCCAGGTTTATTCTTTCATGTTAGCTTTAAGTAAATAGGTTATAAATGTTCAAGATTAAAAGCAAAAACAGTCTTAATGAAAAACAGGGTAAGCAGACAGACATAGTAAGAAATTTGCCTCTTGAATTTGTCCATCTGATGTTTTGATAAGCTGGCTGAATGTGTAAATTTGAGAACCACTTTTAACGTCTGCCACCGGGAATCAGATGATATAGTTTTATTAAAACTTCTGATAAATTGCACAAAAAAAATAAAAAAAATAAAATGCAACTAGAACATATATATACATGCACATAACCATAACATGGAAAAAAGATCAATAAAACAAATTGGCTGATAAAAACAAACAAGGAGGCACCTCCCAATTTATTGGAAAATTGAATTCTACACTTTAAATTGAAATTATATATTTAAAGTAAACTGTACTTTAATGTACAAATGTCTAAAAATCAGGAATTACCCTTGAAACAGCTTGACTCGAGTCAGAGATGCAGATTCTGGAATCAATGGAGAATCCCCATTGATCACACTAAGACTATTCTTAATCTTTTAAAAGAATATTTTACAATAGGAATGCTCAAACAATGATCAATATTTAAACAATTTAAGACGTTTCAAAAAGATTTCCAAAAAATAAATAGCCCAGAAAATCTATATTATTGGAAATAAGATTGACTCATATGCTGCAATTAAAGGGTCAGGCTACATTTTGTTATAAGGCCTAAGTATCAATAAACATATAATGATGTATTTACTCGTTGTTGTTCAACATTCTAAGCATAAATATCAGATATTGTCATAAATCTAAAAGACAATAAACCTTTAATCAAAGAGTATATATCAAATAGTATCAAGATGAATAAAATTGGAAAACATGTAGATACTTTGTTCATATCTAAGATAGCTAATGCCTCTTTATTTCAAATCTGCCAATAAACATGTACCTTCACACATGAAGTTGTAAGCCATGCAAATTAATCTTAACGCTCTTGCTAAAAGAAATCATATGCTGAAAAACTGGAAATGGGTTTGGCTTCATAAAACAGATCTATTGAGTGAAAAAATGTCCCCCAAAATTATTGTAACAGAAATCCTATATTCTGCAGTAAGCTTATCACTAATGTGTCGGAGCAATTCTTTCACAACTGGTCAATGGTGCCAATATCAGAAAAATAATTAGATTTTCGTACTTCCTAACTATGAAACAATTGCTTATTGTTTACATTTACTTAATGGGAAAGTTTACTTATTGTTTATATTTACTTATTGTGTACATTTACTTATTGTGTACATTTACTTATTGTGTACATTTACTTATTGTTTACATTTACTTATTGTTTACATTTACTTGTTTTCATTTAGATTTACTTATGGGAAGTTTACATTTAGATTTATTTATGGAGAAGTTATTAAAAGATTTACTTGTTTTCATTCAGATTTACTTATGGGTCAGTTTATGTTTAGATTTATTTATGGGAAAGTTTACACTTAGATTTACTTATAGGAAAGTTTACATTTAGATTTACTTATGGGAAAGTTTACATTAGATTTACTTATGGGGAATTTTACATTTAGATTTACTTATTGGAAAGTTTACATGTACTTCATTGTGAAGTTTATATCTACTTATTGGTTTACATTTACTTCATGGGAAAGTTCAGATTTACTTATTGGAAAGTTAAGATTTACTTCATGTGAAAGTTTACATTTACTTCATGGGGAAGTTTACATTTACTTTATGGAATATTTACTTCATGGAAAACATTGACATTTACAGCACTTAATGGAAAAGCTGACATATTTACATGTTGGAATAGTTGATATATTTACATGTTGGAAAAGTTGACATCTACTTAATTTATTGGAAAAGATTTACCTATGGGGTATACAATTTTCATTTCATACAAGTGTACTGTTTTCCAGTTTTTCAGTAAACAATAACCAAAGAGTCAAAACTAAATCTACCCTTCGTGTAATTCATGACTGTACATGTATATACCACTAAAACTGAAAATAAGAGCTACTCAAATAATAGAATATCAAAATATTGGATTAAAGGATTTCCATACAGAAAACAAATAGAAATACAAATTAATACCAAAAACCAAAGACAAGAAAATTGGAATACCGTTAAAAATCTTGGGGTGTAACCAGGTTTATTAATCTATTTTGAAGATAAACGACCGGAGAACAGAATTCTGGAATAGGGTCAATAAACTCCCATTCCCTTTTATATTTAACAAAATACAAAGCTCTTGTTAATTTTTTATGTAGCATATTGTATTCAAGTGAAGTTCAAGTCATCAATACTCCTGAATGTTTTTTTCATTTATTCAATAGATACTGAACGTGAAACGGTCATGATAAGAATGGCTGAAGAGAAAGGAAGATGGCATTACTATTATATGTGTTTGATTATTGACGGATTGAGAAGATGTTTCAGATTAGTTATTTGGCCCTGAATTTGATTATCTTGCTTATCAGAATATGAACATATATTTTACTCCAAATATTTAGAGTCCACTTCATGTATTTTTTTTTGAAAAGGGATTTTCCATTTTACAAGCACCTGTGATGGTGATCGGCATCAGCGCCTATCACATTTCTGTGATTATAATTTTGGATATCAGTAGGTTACTTTCGGTCGAGTTATGATTAATCAGCAAGCTTGTAAATTTATGAAATTATCCAAATTACTGTTAAAATTAATAATTTCAAATTTGAACAAGTCAATTAGAAGCAGAATTATAATGTTCCAGACACACAGACAGTCCTATTTCAATAGTTCCTTGCTTTCTTCGAATGGTGGGGGACAAAAAATAGCAGATAAAAGATCATCACACTTTACTAGGGAGTAGATAATATCATGCTGTTGTAGTTAGTGGGAAAGGCAATCAGGACAGTACTTGCATGCTCTAAACATCAAATTTGTCGTATCAAACACAGCTATGTATGATTTGGCCTATAGGCTTGGATTTTCAAAATTCTGAAGTCCTAGATTCAGCAGAAAATAGTTTGACCAAAAGTAGCATTTGTCACTGTGCGCTATAATGAAATATTGTTTCCGATTAGATATTTTTAATCTATTGTCCATACGCTTCAACAAATTTTGTACAATACAAAGCATTTGTTCTTCCAATGATTGACATAAAATCAATGGAATTTCTATGAAATCAACATGACGCCTACCTGTCACTCATCTCAGCCTGATACAATCTGTTTGATATTGATGCTAAAAATGCATCAACAACTTCAGAATATTCATTTATTCCTGCCTTCAAAGCCCTGTGTATAAAAACCATAAATTACCACACAAATAAACATATAGTTCAATAAAATCTTTAAAATACTGATAATTTTTATACATTTAATTCACTGTCACTTGTTTGCAATCAATTGACATGTATGTACGTGAGCTACATACATATTCACTTGCATTTCACTATAACATATTAGTGTCCACTTAAAACATGGACAATAGAGCAACAATCCTGTATACTAATATATACAACTTTACTGGTCACAATATTAAACATACATTATGCAAAAGCTAAATCTGCCAATTGCAGGTCCTTCTTTAGGCCTGAAATGTTATCTAAATTATTAATTAGACATTAAATAACTTATCGAGACCAGAATCAACTCTTGACGTCATCGCTAGCCTGCGATATTTACTGGATAAGAATCCGATCTGCCGCGCAACGCTCATTGATGATTAAATCAAAAAAATGGAAAATCAAGACTATCGTACCGGCTTTAGTAATGATGATCGAGGCTAGGCCTTAAGTTCAATTGCTAAATTCTCAGTTCAGAGTGGATCAATTTAAATAAAATTTTCAGCAAATTCCCTTTACATTATTTTATTTTTTATTTTAACTATTATAGTGAGAACTGCCAACTCTTTATCTAACCTTTCATAATGTATCTTTAACTTATTTATTACAGAATTTATCAGGTTTTACATACCTGCAGATATTATGAATAGCATTATCTCTTAAATTTTCTAATGCAGTCATTAACTTATTTGGTGCCTTTTTACCATTATTGTTACTAGTATTACTAGATGATTTTGTCTGAGATACGTCTGTCACAGTTATCTTTATCCCGCCTTTTTCATTTTCTCTTGAAGCATATTTGTTGAGCTTACTTAGAATAGGTGATGGTGTGATAAGAAAATCTCTCAAAGATGCCACCATAGTTGTAGCCAAAGCAGGAAATTTTACAGCCAATTTTCCTAAAGCCTGAAAAAATAATCAGCATTAACCCGTTAAGCGTGTAGTTTTTAAAACGTTAACTACCCCCTATTGTGTAATTAATTTGACGAAAAACGATAGTAGTCCGAATCCATATTAAAACTAACGGTAAATGGAGTTCCTTCCCTTTAATTATAAATGCATATCACCAGCAGCTTCATCATTTAACTACTACTGGCACTAAGATCGCCAGGATCATCACCCTCAGACTCAGATTCAGTGTCTATGTCACTGGCATTTATCAAATACGCCTCATTCCGATCGTCAGTGTCGTCTTGCAAATGTTCAGGCAAAGATTTCCTCGACCAGGCGTAACCTACGCACTCAGGAGAGCCATTATACACATAGTGACGAACTATGTTCTAAGAATAGGTTGGGGAAAATACCTCCAAACGTTATATTACGTCCTACACACAGTGAGTGGCAGTTGTCCAGGACGTTATATAACGCCCTACGCACTTAACGGGTTAAATGAGTGCTGAATGCAAGCACATATATAGTTCCCTAATAATAAGGTAAATTGTGAATAAATACATTAAACAAGGATATAATTCACTCAATAATTAACAAGCCTGTAAAAGTAAATAAGGCAACAATAACATTTGCCAGTTTTATCTACCAGTTTAGAATATTTTTTGGCATGATCAAAAATTATGGTAATTCTTGAATATGATATACTGAACATCTCCACCTTGGCAAGATACCCAATTGTTAATAAAATTACAGAGAGTGGGCAAACCCCCAAAATCTAATGCAAATGTATACATTTTGCATTTTTTATAGAAATTACTTCTAGTTAATATGTGTGTGACTTAAGATAAGGGAATAATGAGATAATAGTAGTCTTAACTCTAATGATACTAATACAAATGCTGTATGAAATAATTAGTAGTTTTTGTTTTAAAGTCTTACCTCTAATGATACTAATATCAATAATGTATGAGATAACAGTAGTCTTACCTCTAATGATACTAATATCAACGGTGTATGAGATAATAGTAGTTTTTTCTCTGTATTATTACTGATCTTCTCTGTTAGTTTTAAACATAAATTTTCAGCTTCTACAATTAAATGACACAATACATTATATAGAAATGTTGATATGACTAAATAAACTTTTATGATGATATGTTTCAGTCTAACATGTCTTAAAAGCACAATGTAAGCCATTTTGTAACTTACATGATACTTTTTCATTACAAATATAAGGAAGTATACCAGGATTAAACCTATATTTCTTATACTTTTCCTTTATATGTTCAGACTAACATGTAAAACAATTTCCTTTCTTTTACAACAGATTAGGGCTTATTGCATGCTTTCCAACATGGTTTCCCCTGACAAGGGCAGCTGTCTAGTCGTTCGGACTAGATGGAAAAACAAGGTCCCGTGTATACATTGGTGTGAACAAAAAAGATCCCTTGGCAGTTGGAATTCGATATAAGAGTAGACCGTAGTGCCGCTGCCAGGCAAAATTTCCCTCATAGCACACTGTCCAGTTGGAGCAGAACAGTAGGACATTAAACCCCATTTCATTTCTTTCAGCATGCTGGTTCTATAATTCCATACATTACTGTTCAGAAAACAGTACATTGACCATTCTTAGTTGCAGGCAGTTTTCAAATAATTCAAAATATATGCTATTTGTTCTTCTTAGAAGGTAAACACTGTCTCATGCACAACACAGATCCCTATTTAGGGCTGAACAAGGTGGATACAATAAAATGTCACAATATTCTACTTTACCTGATATTTCTCTGATGGCCCAAAATAAAAGATCAACACAGGCAGCATTACTATAAACAGTTAGTTGATATGGATTAAACTCATGATCATTATCATCCTGATCTTTTCTATGATCTTTATCATGTGGATGGCCATGTTTCTTTTCTAAATCTACTTGACCAGATTCATATAAACTCTTTACAAAATCCTGTACATCATTCATAAACTTGGCTGGTAAATCTATAGTAGATAAATACATATAAACATTGGTAACAAGTATAAATTTCTAACGGTTACACCAGGTTAATACAGAATTTTAGGTGCATATTGAATTGTTCTGTTAAATAGTTATTTAGAAAGTGTTATGCTGTATACCAGTAAATTTTACAAGTTAATAGATTTAATACCAGCCCACACTTGCAATTTCCTATAAGAATGTATAACAAAAATCAATTTTCACTACAATTAAAGTCATTTTATTTGTCAGCAGATATCTGTTTTTGCATTTTTCAGGCAATAAATTACACAGTACATTTGATCACTAACCTTTTTCTTGTTCAAGTACATCTCTCAATAATGTAACAATTACAACTGTTATAGTTTCACTGAATGATTTATATGGAAATCTCCAGATCTCATGTTTCTATAAATCAACAATCAAAATACACATCAATTATCAACTACATGTCAGATGAGACAGTATTTCACTTTAAATTATTTTGATATATTCCAATTTAGGAAACTGAATTGCTTATGTAGTGATTTTGCCCTTTGTTTAATTGCAATAGATTTATTATGCACAGTATCTGTATCTTTAACAGGGAAGTCTTAAAAGTAAAATGTAATTTTGCAAGATCTGTTCATGAATGAAAGATTAATGTAAATAAGGAATAAAAAATTGGAAAAAGAATTCATTAATTGACTTTGGGTAAGACAATAGATGGTCTTGAACCATGGCCTAAATAGCCATTATAGGGTTAGTATAAATAATCCATATATGATCTTTAACTTCAGAATTGAACCAGAATAATAATAATAATAATAAACATTAAAAAGATATCTTTTAATTTAATATGGATCACTTTGAGTTCAAAATAAAATAGTCAAAATGTTGTTCAAATGGGATTGGTCCATCGATTAATGAAAAGAAAACACCAAAGACCATGAAATTTTTATCACAGTAATGTTAGTGGTAGCTAGTCGGTTTACAGATTTTCACATTTTATATTTAGTATGAAAGAGGTGGCAGCCTTTTAAACAATTTTATCAGATTGAATACTGGCATCAAAAGGGCATGACAACTTTTTGACCTGATCAAATCCAGCTGGAGCTATTTGAATTGTACTGTACCTCTGTTTCTGCTAATGTATCTTTTAAAATATTATCAAGATTTTTTAACACATCTTTATTTAATAACCTCTTAGCCTGTTCAAAATAAACAAATTCATGGAAAACAATTACTGAATTGAAAGTAACATACAAAACACAAATTTATTCCTTCATTAGGACCTCATAGATGGAGCTTCGATTGTGGCTTCAAACAGGTTAGTTCATAAACTAATGACATGTGAATAATATATTCTTCCAGTTAATAACAGTTATCAATACATGCTACACATATAGTCATGATCATCTAGGACAGGAAATATCTATGCAAACTTCAATTCAAGTGTCGGCCAAGAAGGTTCAGCAGGATTTTTTAGCATGGTTCCCCCATGTCAATGGTGCAGGACAAGGGCCTGGCAAGAAAAAGTGTCTAGTGGTTTGGATAGAAAGAAAAACCAAAGTCCTGTGTACACATTGGTGTGCACGTAAATGTACCCCACTGTCCAGGAAAAATTTTCCTCATATAACACTGCATGGCATATGCCCATCTTCATAAGCCCAATTGGTGCAGAAAAGTAGGATGTTAAACCCTATTTCATTTCATTTCTATGCAAACTGTAATGTAGTATTTTTTTCATTGGTCATCATAGTTTGTACTTCTGAATATTAACAATTCAGACTGACAGCTATACAGACAAGTATAAAAAAATCAATAAAATAAGTTGAACTTACAACACTGACTAAAGTCTGTAAATGTGCACTACAGAATTCCAGATGATCTTGTTCAGGAATAATTTCAAAACCCCACGGTTTGGTTCGAGTAAAACTGGCGCCAACTTTATTCAGATATATAGATGACACTTCTTGTTTTTCTTCTTTTTCAGAAGAACTCAAAATACTTTCTCTGCTTGGTCCCATGAGAGGGGAAGGAGAGCGTTCACGTCTGCTTTCAGAGTAATCAAATGGTATAGGTGAGGTGGGACTAGGACTATCAGTATTGATGACTAATGATGAAAGAGTTCTTGGTAAAATTGGCCGAAAAGTGCTGAAAGCTCTTCTATGATGGGAAATGTTTTCTTGTTCATATGTTTGGCAAAGTTTTATATTATTTACAGTTAAAACAGTTGATATTAAAGGACGCTCCTCATCACTAGAACGACCAACAGATCTCGCTAACCCAAGTAACAATGGAACAATAGTAAAACCTAATGTAGCTGCAAATAAATAAAACAAACAGATGATGGAATCTGGTTAAAATGACAACTAATTCTTCTCTTGGGTTAAGATAAAGAAACCCCCCTAAAAATTAATAGCCCCATAGAAAGATTAGATACTATGTTTAAAATTACCAGACCTCTTTGTTTTGGGTAAAGTAGGAAAATCTTTATTTAATTAAATTTTGTTGGCAAAGTGTGTATCTGTATACAGTGAAACAAACACATCAAATAAACCTAATTCAACAATTTTAGTTCACAACCTAAATCAAATTGGTTTAGCTCCTTTCACTGCAAAGTTGATATCATTCACACACAAATGAAAATATCTGCCACAAACAAATCTAACTTGGATCATCTAAGTCGTCATTTTATATACAGTACATAATGTTTATTTACTAGTCAGTTTTATAAAATTATCTGTAAAGCAGTAGTCATTAAGTAAATGTTACGTCAATAATTATTAAGACCAAGACTACTGATTAATATACAAAACTATTGGTTGGGTTTGTGTATTCAGTACTGATGGGTATTAGAAATAGTCACAGTTTTAAGATAGAGTGGCATTTTTACAGCTAGTTACACACCTGCTAATTAATTTCTAAACACTTTCTATACATAGATTACAGAAATTTCATTAGTTAAAAATATAAGCTTAACAGTGTTTAAGTTCATGAATGTTTATGACATATTTTATTTGACAGACTAAGTATACAAAACCTATTATGAGATAACACAAATGTTTGAAAACATGAAACAATTCAATTCTGTTTTAGTTAAACTCAGAATTATGTCTTGTTTATTTAACCATTCAAAACAATGTCCAACAAAAACATTTATGTTTACATGCAATTTACAGCAAAACCGGGATACTGTGAACACAAGTACACTTTACAGTTGGAATTTTATATACATGTACGAGTAAGCTGTCTGGGCAAAATTTCCTTTCAATCATAGCACACAGCATGGTGTTTAACTATCTTCATTAGCCCAGTCTGTGCAGAAAAAAGAAAATTAGGATGTTTGACCCCATTTCATGTCTGGTTATAAATATGAGAGAACAGAATAAGATGTAATTATATTACACACCTTTAGGTATATCATAAGAACCTTCACATAGCTTTGTTAAAACTTCCATCAAGTCAAGCTGTGCAGCAATAATCTACAAACAAAATAGTCAATAAAATTATTTTAGGCAATAAAGGATAATTTTATGATTTTATCGTACACTGTACTAACACTACAGGTTGCCAGGAATCAAAACATATGCCCACCAGCAGCTAAGTCATCAAAGCTCTTATAATCTATCTACATCGCATAAATTTTAGAAATATCAAATCATAATGAAAGTCTCTAAAGGTACTAACAAGATTTCATAACTATGGGAAATAACTCTGGAAGTTATTATTGAAAATCATTAGGATTCTGCCTTTCAATAGGATTCTGCCTTTTAATAGGATAATACAACCAATAATTGTGTCATAATCAATAACCAGTCGCTGCTAGGCAGGATACGCCCACATTTTGCAAGAGATGGATAGAGAACAAGCTAAACAAAAAGCGATTTTTCGTAACATGAAGGACCATAATTCAGGAAGGTAGGATCAGATATGCGCGAATATCGACAGGAACCAAGATCTTTGTGTTATAAACATGCATTCAAGTTTCATTAAAATCGGATCAAAATTGTGACCTCTAGAGGGTCCACAACCTTGATATACCAGATGTTTACAATATTTGCGTACAGGGGCGGCTATTTTTGTCTGGCACTTTTCGTCCGATTTTCACGAAATTCGAACACAACCAACATTATGGTGTAATGATGACATATTTGAACAGTTTTTTAAATCATATAATAATTGTGATCTCTTGAGGGACCACAAGCTAAAAACGTGATTTTTCGTACAATCAGGGGCCATAATTCAGGACGTTATGATCCAATATGCGCGAATATTGAAAGGAACCAAGATCTTTGGGTTATAAACATGCATTTCAAGTTCCATCAAAATCAGGTGAAAATTGTGACCTCTAGAGAGTCCACAACCTTGATATACCATATTTTTACACTATTAGCGTATGAGGGGCGGCCATTTTGGTGTAACGGTGATATATTCAAATGTTTTTTTAAATCGGAATAAAATTGTGACCTCCATTGGGTCCACAAGCTAAAAAACGTGATTTTTCGTACAATCATGGACCATAATTCAGGAAGTTACAGTCAGATATGCGCAAATATCAAAAGGAACCAAGATCTTTGGGTTATAAACTTACATTTCAAATTTCTACAAAATCAGATAAAAATTGTTACCTCTATAGAGTCCACAAGCTAAAAACGCGATTTTTCGTACAATCAGGGGCCATAATCCATGAAGTTATGGGGCGATACATGCCAATATCGAAAGTTTCGTTGAAATTGGATACAAATTATGACCTGTAAACTGTGCATAAAAATCTATAAGCTTTATTCTTTGAGTGAGATAAACAATTGAAAATATTTTTAAAATCAAAAGGTTTCTTCCTGCCAATAAGATGGATAACCCATGTAAATTTCACTAATTTGAACAAGATAAATAGATTTGATACACACATGCACGGGCAATAACTTTTGTCATTATAGAATTCAAAAGCCAATGGCTTCTTCATTTCATTAAAGATAGGTTGCCAGGCAACGAAACATACGCCCATAGCAGCTAAATCGTCTGGGCAGTCAACAAGCGTTGTCGCATATTTTCACTTTTTTCGGTAATGAAACATTTACAATACACTAAAATCTGATTAAGAGTAACAATTCATGAAGTAATTATCAGAAAACCATTAGAATTTGTTTGGTCTTTATAAAGTTCTGCCCTGCCCCATGCTCACGTTTAGTATACAAAACTTTTAATTTCATGGATTTAGCTGTTCAAGTCATAAAAATTTACTTGTTTTTATCAAGATCTTAAACTCTGTGTATCAATCTGAAGTCAATCGGATGATAACTTTAGCCTCTAGAGGGTCACAAGATTATTCAAAGTGATCAAGGGCCATAACTTTAGCAATAATCATGGGCCATAACTCTGGCAGTAATTATCGTAAGTCACTGAAAATGAATGGACTTCTTCGTCTCATCACCTTAAACACTGTGTATAAATTTAAAGTCAATCTGATATTAACTTTAGCCTCTAGAACGTCCAAAGTGATCAAGGGCCAAAACTCTGGCAGTAATTATTGTAAATTGCTGAAAATCAATAGGATTCTTCGTCTCATGACCTTAAGCACTGTGTATAAATTTAAAGTCAATCGGATATTAACTTTGGCTTCTAGTGTCCACAAGATTTTTTGATGTGATCAAGGGCCATAACTCTGGCAGTAATTATCGAAAATCGCTGAAAATGAATAGACTTCTTCGTCTCATGACCTTAAACACTGTGTATAAATTTAAAGTCAATCGGATATTAACTTTAGCCTCTAAAGCGTCCACAAGATTTTTCAAAGTGATCAAGGGCCAAAACTCTGGCAATAATTATCGTAAATTGCTGAAAATCAATAAGATTCTTCGTCTCATGACCTTAAGCACTGTGTTTAAATTTAAAGTCAATCGGATATTAACTTTGGCTTCTAGAGCATCCACAAGCAATTGTTGGCACCGGACCACCGGGCGCCCTGACGGGGCGACGACAATATACAACCACATTTCAATGTGGGCTTATAAAAAGGAATAATGAATACGAATTTCATACAGAGTGGGCAAAAATGTTTACTGTTAGTGTCCAAAACTCAATGACCTTCATTTCATTTAACTGAATAATGTGTACAATAACTTTCGCCATTAGATTCTTAAAGTGAAACAAGGGTCATAACTCTAGACATAATTAATGGAAATCATTAAAAATCAATAATAAGTTTCTTTCATTCACTAATTTGAATAATGCATATTAATGAAACAAACGACCATAACTCTAGAAATTATTAATGGAAATTTGGGCAATTGGGTCTCACCAATTATACAACACAGGCTGGTGACAATATATGGCCATATTCAAATGTTTATAATAAAAATAAGGTTTATCTGATTTAAATTATAGTTAAATGTCAGGCTGGCTAAGGTAACAAAAAGGACACATGTATACTCACTACATTGAATTCTCATGTTATATTTGATTTATTCTATATAAACTTTTAATTTACATATTTTGTACTTTAAGTTGGGAATAAGTAAATATTTTCACCATGTTAAGTGAATCATGGTGTGAATATACATTGGTCAGATTTGCATAGAATTGGTCTGTAGCATTCATAATCAAACTTTTTCTACACTTGTCTTGTCCAAAGATGCTGTTTTTGTATTAAAATGAACACAGTTCTGTTCAATAATGTGTATTAACTAATTAATCATTAATTTTTCCATCAAATATATTTCTTTATTTAGAGAAATATTTGAATAATGACAATCCAACAATCCAGGAGTCCATGACTAAAACTTTAATTTCAGTACATACTGTAATTTTATCTCAAATTAATCTGATGTTCCGTCAGTTTGATTGAAACAGATGTTCTCTACAATCAATTCATTCATAACATCATAACTGAATCTATTTAAAAATGAAACTGATTCATTAATTGTTCCACTTCTAAATTCTATATATATTTGTTTGAAGTATTATACTATACCTCATCTCTGGAATCACTGTCTCGAAAAGCAACATCACATAAAATCGTATTTAAACAAAAACTAAAACATTCTGTCATTGGTAATTCTACAAAGATAAAATACATACATGCAAAATAATAATACAACTATATATATACAATCAATATATAGGCTATAGACTACTCAATTAGGTTTCAACAAAGTAATTATAACATTATTAATATATGTAACCTAAGGTAGCGAAAAAATATTTACTCCATTTCTTGCGAATCACAGGGAATGTGTAATTTTATGTATAGTGAAATAAAAGGATGAATTTTCAAGGATTTACAATTTAATAGACAGATTTATACTTACTATATTTATTAAGACCCTTTGGACCTTCAACATATTTAGCCTTAGACAATCCACGAAGAATTCCTAATAACTTCGGTAAAATTTTATCTTTATACTAAAAAAGGAAAAAGGTTAAATTTAAATGCAAGTGTAGTATTAGTATTAATCTAATGGATAAATATTGTATCCTGAAGTATAAGTATTTTCTAAATGTACTGACATAGAGTAGTGAAAAAAAACATTAGTCTAGTCTAAATGGCAATCTCTTTAATGTCTAATTTCAATTAAAAAAAAACATAGTATGCGTACCTGTAGTCCAGAGTAGTGAAAAACGCATATGTCTATTTTAAATGAATGGCTCTTTAAAAGCTTAATACAATTCACAAGAACATAGTAATTAGTATACATGTATGTACCTGTAGTCCAGACTCTAAAAAGTAAACTCCCAGTGCAATAACTGCATCTTGTCCTCGTGAAGTCAGCTGTAGACTACCATCACTATTCTCATTTGGAAAGTAATTAATCAGTTTCTGAACCTAAAAAACCCCAAACAAAACAAGATTTCAAAATGAATTTATACAACCATAAACTTGGAAAACACAACATTCAATTCAAGATTTAGGACACCATTTAAGTGTAGAAGATTATTAACTGAAGTAAAAATTCCTTTAAAATTTAGTGATCTCAAGTAGAGAATTAAATGATCTTTCACATGTGAGAAGAGAAAACAAGAGGGCAAGTGGGCTTTCTCACCCATCAGTAGTTAAGTTCTTCTACCACCTGTGACCATATTAATAAATGATTTGGCTATATCTTTGCGTTCAATTAGGGGATACCGTCCACATTTGTTATTTTTAAGCTGCAACTGAAATGTTATCTTACATACATTGGTGGGTACATTCCAAAAAAGCTGGTGCCCCTTTCACGAGCTTTAATCCATCAATGTTATCAAGGAACGAACATCCAGTTTCAGTTCACATACTGTTTCCTTGATAACCTGGCTGATAGTTTTCTAGCTTTGGATCTTTGACAAATCTACTTTTTCGTATGCTTAAAAAGGTTGGGGATTTGTCTTGTTAAATCTTGGCCCAGTACCTTGTTGCAAGTTCTTTCCTTGCAGTGGTAACTTTCCAGCTTCCGGCGTGATTCTGTTCTGGTTCCCAAGAGATATATAACACAGTATTAAATTCCTTCACTGTGAATTTCTCTTATAGTAAGGACTATATTAAAAGACTAAACCGGTGTCACATGACCTTGCAGGTGATATGTAACCAAACTTTCTTATAAAATATGCCCTACTAGTGTGTTACCCTTTCCATCTTTAGCAGATTAATGTTTTTATTCTTTAAAACACTTTTGGAGTTGACCAATTTTCATAAATTTGAAAACATCAGTCAGATACTTCATTTTTATGGATTTCTAATTGTAAACAAAATGTTCATCTAGTTGTCTGAAACGCATGTTTGCGAAATCTAAAAATATTCAAAACTTGCCTTTCAAAGAATTGTCCACTAAGTTACATAGCAGGTGTATTCTGATTGACAGAGAGTAGACCTACCGTACTGTATACTCTTGAACTGACAGTGATTTTAAAGGCATTAGTAAAGCAATCAAAATAGTCAGCTAATTATTTGGGAGACTAAAAAATGGTAATGTTTCTAGTCGTATTGAATGGTAGGCTACATGTATGTTAATGTACATGACAATGTATCCTGTAGATTAATCTCTGTGAGTATGGCTTCTCTTGAAGAGTTTTAAATTTTAACATGAAAGACACATTATGGGAGATTAGATAAAGAGCTAGCAGTTCTCACTATAATAGTTAAAAACTAGATAATGTCCAGGGAATTTGCTGAAAATTTCAGTCAAATTGATCCACCCTGAAGCAAATATTTAGCGATTGAATTTTGGGCCTAGCCTCGATCATCATTACTAAAGTCGGTATGATAAAAAACATAGTCTCGATTACCAGTATCCATTTCTTGATTTAATCAGAAACAACAGACCAGGTTCTAATACAGTAAATATTGCAGGCTAGTGATGCCATCGAGAGTTGATTATGGTCTGGATAAGTTAATTAATGTCTAATTAATAATTTATATAACATTTCAGGCCTAAAGAAAGACCTGCAATTGGCAGATTTAGCTCTTGCATAATGTATGTTGAATAATGTCTATAAATACGACTAACTGGTAATGGTCTTAGTCTGCTAGTTTCTGCAGGTTTGGCTATAAAAGTAACACAAAAAAACAGCTTCAAAGACTTAAGCCGTCGTGCTGTGATTATAGGCTACGTTCCACTACTGATGTCTTCCGTCTTGTTCCAGCCACAGTAGTGGACCCTCCTAAGGCCTTCATTTGAGCACGTTTGTAGTCATTTGACTACAAAAAAGTTATTGGCCTAAAACTCCCTTAATTTCCAATTACATTGACCCCAAACTGTACGGTACACAGCTTAACATATAATAAACTAGATAACAAACCTCATCTCTCAACCCTCCGAGTTTCGAGATGAGAGATGGTCCTATATAGTTCCACGTAGCAAAGCCCAACACTAATCAGATCGGGCGTCAGTAAGCAAAATTGACAATATTTCTCATCAAAACAACAATTGATTATTGTTATTTAAAATATTTCTGCCACATCCAACTACAATTAAGCATATAATCCTACCTGAAACGGGTTTAAATCATTGTATTTAAAATCGAGGCATTAACCCGTTACTAGGACTAAGAAGCGTCTTTTTTAAACGGGAGATGTATGACGCTATGAGATGTACATGTATGAAGGCAGAGCTAAGGCTTTTATAACAGCCAATCAAAAAAGGCAATTGCAAGTGGAAAAAATGTAAACAAACAAAATGACATCCACCTGTTCTAATCTATCTGCGAATCATTTCAGAAAATAAAATCAAATTACGGCCTTAACTTTGAATTAAAACCCGAACAAGAAATTATTTTGGACCTGATAATAAATATTTTTGCTTTTATGGTAAAAGGGGCATTTAGGGTTTGCGCATGTCTAAAGCACCGTAACTATGAATGGACTTTGATGGAGGTGTACGTATGTCGGATAAAACGACGCTTCATTAATTTAAATGTGAATATTTGGAGTTAGGTGATATTTGTGTCACTAAATTGGCTTCTGTAAGTTTTATTAGTCATAATCGTTTAAAATTATCTTATTTTAAAGATGTTCTACATGCATTAATAAAGAAACTCAGTTTGCCACTTGGAACCATGTTAGAACTAAAGCCTTTAGTAAAGGCACCCAATCGTAGCTAAAAACAAGCACTTCAGTATATATCTCAATGTTTTTAGCTACGTTCTCGTAGCTAATAATAAACCAATTTCCATTGAAATAAAGGTGATACTTTACCGCATAATTATAAGATTTGATTAAACCCAACTGCTATGCGAAATTTCTGTTTATTTTAAATTGGCCATTCGGTAAGATAAGATTTTAAAAGATTTCAGTGTTTCACTCTTCACTATTTGCAACATAATTACTTATATTTCCATGCAAACTATGATTATATGTGTTGAAAACTTTGCAATTGAACCTAATTTTACTTGCTCAAAGTTTCAAATAGTGTATCAATTGTATTCGTAAATAAGAATTATCAATATCACACACAGCTACGAATTATTGCAGCGCTTTAATTAGTGTAAGTGGAAGTGCAACCAGCAAGTAAAGTCAACAAACGAAAAACTATTGCCAATTCCTCAGTAAATCTGCACCGTGCACTCAACATTAACAAATCTAGTGATTTTAAGATTTTTTTAGTTTTAAAATACCTTTGCCCATGGTGTTGGTTTCAAAGAACCAAGCGAACGGGCTAATAATAACATCATATTACTGTGAATACACCCGTCGCCGTCCGCCATGTTGAACTGCTTGTTGAGAGTTATCTCCTCGGCACTTTGACACGAAGTTTTGATTGTCAAGTGATAATTAGTCGAGACTCCGAAAACCGGTGGTTATTACTTGAAGAAATGAAAGTTGTTGATAAAAGAGAACAATAAATAAGAAGACTGAATGAAAAGGTAAAATATATAGCCACCGTCATGTTGTTAGGCTACAGAATTTTCATACCTCTGAATATTATGAGTGAATGGTTAATACATTGATGTCCTATATTTTGACCTAGCCGAGGCAAATGTGTGATGATAGCCTACGTACGAGTATACTATACTATGTATCGTCAGTAAATTATGAAAGAATTTATTCCTAAGGATATTGACCAATGCTGGAAGCGTTGACATTCCAACTTGTGCATTAAACCTAATAAAAGTAATAACGCTACCAAAAGTACAAGGACTGTCGTAATCATTTTTAGTCATTTTTTGTATATATAGGCCTAATGTTTATTAATTGTCACTAGCCAGGGCCTTATTTGTCAAAGATAATGTTTATTAATTGTCACTTCACCTGACATCATGTATTACGTGTGCTTTTAACTGGCAATACTTATTTCATTTCAGTTATATGTGAACTTAAGTTATTTGTTAACTGATACTTTTTCTTTATAATTGGCTGATGTAATGATCATAATATATTACCGATACATTATATAGGCCTAATAAAAATCGAAACATAGAATTTTAAATTGAAAGGCATTATATTTTTATGAACTAGCAGGATACATCTACCATTATTTTTACAGGTCAAAATACATTGGCATTTTTATTGAACAAAAATGGCATCACAAGATGAAGGTGGTCAAAGCGATAGATTGCTGCATGATAAAAGAAATGTTACTTTGGAAAATGGTGATATCCAAGGTGAAGAGGATGTAGAAACAGAAATAAAGGGACCACACTACTACAGTTTACCATCCTTACGTTATGCTAATATATTAAAGACTATTATCTTTATAGATGGAGTTATTTCTATTGTTTTATGGTTGACAGGTAAGGAAATATCAATCTTAACATGACTAGACTGCTTTGATTAGGGTCAAAAATAAAATAATTGATTTCACTGGATTTTAAATGGGATGACAGTTTTATGTTTAACGGAAATTCTAAGTGTTGACATAAAACTGATTTTGTGTTCCACTGAACACAACAAACTAAAAACAAAATTGAGATTAGAAAACATACCGTCTTCCACTTAATCCTATTAATGAAACAAAAATTGAATTCTGTAGAGTTTTCCCGATCACAAATCAATGTTACCCATCAGATAAACCCAATTCAATACCCTATTTTGACCGAAATCAAAGAGATTTAGCAAGTTTAACTACATGATGTATATGCTGAGCACTTATTTCACAACAATTAAACCTTCAGATCCTAATATTAAATTTTTGATCAAAAGAAAATATCAAACTCAAAAATACAATGCCAGTATCGGGTACCATACTTCTACATTTTTGATAAAAAAAACCCTAGGAAAAACAAAATATAGTTCCAGTAACAGGTATCTGTAACTATATGAAACTTTTTGGAGGTGATTTTTCTGTTAAGTTATTTTTAGTAGATTGTTGTTATGTTCTAAATTACAGATATTTAAATTAAACCACTACAATTATAAGTCATTTGTTGAACATTGATTGCCATAATCCAAGAAAATGGACAATTAAAAATTAAAATAATCTTTTAACCTTTTTCCTTACTTGATTGTGATTAGAAAAGTTTTACAAAATGCTACTATCACTCTCAGAAGCCAACAATTGGAGCTGAAAGATAAATTCATCATTAATTCCATGCACATTCATAATTAAGGAAATCTTTCTATCGCATGCATTATTTCTTTAAGCATGTAGTTCCTAACCAATACTAGACACCAGGACTAGTAATAAATCATAATTTTGATACCTTCTTTCTGTTTTCAGGTGGACACTCCAAATATTTTGTTGACAACATCGTTCATTTCCACCTGTTAGATTCTGTGTTTGACTTGGCCATTATGTGCAGCTTGAAAGCCATTTTCTTTATAGTTCTATATTCGTGGCTAGAAGAAATTTCCTTTAAACAAACTGAACATCCATATGACAGAAATTTACAATCAAAGTCCAAAATTCTTCACTTTTTAATTATTTTGCTGTCAACAATATTTATGGTGTATTCAATAGCAAAAGGTGGTTTAGTCTTAAATGCATACCTGAATCAGACAGACTATGTAATAATGCATGCAACATATAATGCATTGGTTATAAGTGCTGTGTGTTTTAGTATTTTAGAATTTATATTTTCGCTGTATAGTTTTATCGCTATGAGAAAGTTAAAGATTTTACGGGTTTTACATCGTCTCAATGATGAGAGACAAGAAATAGATTCAGATGGCAAACAAGTGAAGAAAAAGCCAAGTTTAAAAAGATTAGCTTCATTGGCCAAACCTGTAAGTTTTTATATGTTTAAATGCTATTGCTTTCAAATATTTTTAGATTATTCTTTTTATTATATTTAAAACTTGATCTATAATAGATTGTGTCATTGTATTGTGATGGAACAACCTTGTAAATAGAATGAGGAAATTAGATGGATTATTAACTTCTACAAGATTTAATCTCACACTTTTCTCTACTTACAGGAATTGCCTATGATTAGCCTGGCATGTTTAGCTATGTTAGGTTCTAGTGGATCTCAGATGGTAGCACCATTATTTTTCGGTAAAGTTGTGGATGCTGCTCAGAAAGATATGGGTGAGATGTGTATTATTAACTTTCGATCAGTATAGATAGACAGTTCTCTATCATTAATTTCAACTTTAAATTAATATTTTGTTTATATACTTTTCCAAAAAAGTAGGGGATATTCAGAAACGATACAAAACTGCGGAAATGCACTGTGTTTTTATTAGAGGTAACCAGTGTATGTTAAAAACAGGCCAATTGCCTAAACATGAACATATTAAACAGTTCATATGGGTGGCTTATCTGACGGCCCCATTTCACTCTCAAAGAGATACACTGTCAAAAGTGAAAATGGACGTTTTTGAATTTTGTCTTAATAATGAGTAATTGCTCCACCAATCCTCAGACATTCAGCAATTTGTCGTGGCATGCTCCTAATCAAACACGTCTCCCGATCATGTCCCAGACATGCTCTATAGGGGAAAGGTCAGGACTCATGGCTGGCCAAGGCATATGGACAATATGGTGACGCTAGAAGTAGTCATTCACGACACGAGCGCGGTGGGCACGGGCATTATCATCTTGAAAGATAAAATGTCGACCTGCATGTTGAGCAAAGGACAGAACTATCAGTGCCTGGATGTGGTCCACACCAGTGACCCTTCCTTGAACAATATGCAAGTCTGTTCTGCCAGTCATGGTGATTCCTCCCCATACCATAACAGACCCACGTCCGAATCTGTCATGCTGTCTGGTGTTATCGTTAGCATGATGCTCATTTATACACCTCCCAACGCGAGCTCTCTTATCGGTCAAATCCAGAGTAAATCTGGACTCATCTGAGAACATTACACGCGCCCATCGACGATTACCCCAATTTCTACGCTGCCTACACCATTGACGCATGTTTGCCATGTGCTGGCGAGTTAATGGAGGTACAGCACGCAGTCGTCGTGCATGCAAATGGGCTGCATATAGCCGATTTGTAATCGTTTGGGGTGTAACTCGAATTCCTGTAACTTGGTACAAGTTTACAGAAAGCTGATTGGCCGTTTGTCCTCAATTTCGCAGGACCTGTGTACGAATGTATTGATCCTGGGTTTGTGTAGTGGCTCTAGGACGACCTGAATGAGGTCTATCATCAACATTGTGTGTTTGTTGGTACCGGTTCCACAGTCTGCTGATCACAGACTGTGACACATTAAACATGTTGTCTACTGCTCACTGTGTAGAACTCATTTGTAGCATGCCAATAGCACATAGAAGTTCATCATGTTGAAGCTGTCTCATTGCAAATTAAACGTAACACACTAAAGCAAAGATACGCTAGACAGTAAATCGTATGCAAGAACCAATAGGAAAGCAAACATGGATAGGATAAACCAGCACGAGACAGTTTTCATCAACCCTTCCTTAAATGTCAAATTTGACAATGAACCCCTCCCACGTGTATGGCGCTATTGCGTGTCGCACGTGCAGCTCAGTGGTTCTGTTGGGGCGATAAGTTCTTCATCTGTGAACATACTCTCAAAGCATGTCAAGTGTCCATGATTATTTATCATATCACAACCGGCATAGGTATTTGCATTTCAATATCCCCTACTTTTTTTGAAGAGTATATTTAGTGATAATTGGTATGGTATCAGATTTTATATAAAAAGATATAAGCCAAGAATGAAAAGCACCTCAGCATACTCACATTTGAGTTGTAATAGCAATAAAACTGTTAAAAGTTCTAACAACAGGAAGCTCTGGTGGTTTGGTGGTTTTGACACCAGGCTCATAACCTGGGGAAAGAAGATTGATAGCTATGTTTCCACTTATATAAAGTTGAAACATAGTTGTTGAGGAAAAACTTTCCCCTTTACATTGCACAAGTATGTAACATAGAAACAAAAATTATTGTATGTTGTCGCTAGACAAATGATTAAGTTAATATACTTCATAGTACTTGACAATATAAGAATGGGATAGCTGGCTGAAAGACAAACAGATGTAATAAATATAAATATATTTTGCCTATATATTCTTTCTTTACAGGTGAATTAAACAGTACAGTTCTTACATTATTGTTGATTTATATTGGTGGTGCAATATGTTCTATGGTAAGAAGCTGGATATTTACTCTGGCTGGTCAAAGAGTTGTTGCTAGGTTACGCAAAAATCTATTTTCATCTGTTATAAAGCAGGAAGTTGCTTTTTTTGACACAAACAGGTAATTTAAAGCGGTGAATAGAATATGTGAATTAGGTTGCATTAAAAAGGTAGATGTATGATGTATAGGCCAGTATTAAAAAGGCTGATGTATGATGTATAGGCCATTATTAAAAAGGTAGATGTAGAGACCAGTATTAGAAATGTAGATGTATGATGTATAGGTCTGGATTAAAAATGTAGATGTATGATGTATAGGCCAGTATTGAAAATGTAGTTTTATGATGCATAGGCCAGTATTAAAAAGGTAGATGGATAATATTAGATTGATTTTAGTGCTTAGCCAATCAAAATTGAAGTATGTACTAAAATTTGGATTTTATCTATAGTTAAAATTTCGAGAAACAGGGCCCTGTATTTAAAAGGTAGATGTGTGATGTATAGGCCAGTATTAAAAGGTAGATTTATTATGTATAGGCCAGTATTAAAAAGGTAGGTGTATGATGTATGAGTCAGTAACAAAAAGGTAGATGTATGATGTATAGGCCATTATTAAAAAGGCAGACGTATGAATTATAGGCCAGTATTAAAGGTAGATGTGTGATATATAGGCCAGTATTAAAAAGGTTGATGTATAGGCCAGTATTAAAAAGGTAGACGGATGATGTAGATGTATGAGGTACAGGCCAGTATTGAAAAGATACACATATACTTTATATACAAAGGTACATGTATAGGCCAGTATTTTAAAAAAAAAAAGGAAAATTATATCTTTTGAATAAGGAGTTTATAGAAAGAAAAATATTGAAATCTCCTAAATTAAAGTTTAAAAACAAAATTAGAGGGTTTTTTGCTCTGTTATTTAATGCAATTGTGCATGTCTTTGTTATTATTTTAGAATATATGCATGTTATTTAAACCACAGGGCTTGTTTAGACATAGACTAAGCCATAATAATGTTAATAATTAACAAAATCAAAGCTTTTATGTTAAACTAAAAGCAAATTGCAAAATTATCACTGAGGGAAAGTAGAAATATTTCAAATATCTCCTGAATAAAGTTTGTGTTTGAAAGTCATGTCATGGTCAAGTCAGATTAAATGTGCAAACTGACAACAAAGTCAAAAATGCTGGATAGTGAGACTTGTATGGGAGAATGACTAATTGACTGAGCCAAAGAATCATATTACTGCTAATACTGCTTTATATGAAGCATGGTACTTTATAAATGAATGATTGTAAACCTTGTTTAAAAGATATACACTCTAATTTTGCAATTCTGAATGTGTCAATGTCAGATCACAACTATAAAATATAAGAACAACGTCTTTGCTATCAAATAAACGCACCACAAATCATTTCTCCTAAAAAGTACACCTAGAAAACTATTGCATGCTGCCATCCAGAGGTTGGCCGAGTTTCTAGCAATTAGAGATTTCCCAAGGCCTTGACGACTAGCAACATCTGCAGCTTTCGTACTGAGGGACCCACATCGTTCATCAGTGACTTACATTGGACCGGTATCTGCACAATTTGGCATGAAGATTTCTTTACAGTTGAATATCCATAAAAAGAAAACAAACAAAATTATTGTCAAATACCTATGTGTGGTGATACGTAATGTTGTAACCGATAATCGGCTCATCACTGGTACAGCCTACAATCATGCCAATAATCACATTTCAGCTTCATAATGTCTTGCCAGTGTGACTCAATATATATATATACTAAGCAGCAAAAGAAACGTCAGGTTGGTATGTTACTCTGAATAGACGCATTGCATAAAACTTGCCAAATGTTTTTATTGTATATTTGTGACCACATCTCCAGCTTTACCTGAGCAATAAGGCTCCTTCCCAAACACAGAATTGAACCCAGGAAATTGTCTTGGAATTGTGATGAATTAATCACTAATGTGTCAACATACTATTCACAAAAAATTGCTTTGATCCATTTGGTAAGTCGTTTTCTAGAATGATTTGATTAAAGTGCCTCTCTGATTTTAAAATTGTACTGACGTTTTTTTTGCTGTTTAGTATATATATATGTATGAATTATTTCAGAACAGGAGAAATATGTAATAGATTGTCATCTGATACACAAGTTTTACAGAATGCTGTAACGGTATGTATATAGTCATCTGTAGATAGGCATCCTGATGATAAAAAAAGTTAGATGCCATGAAGTCAGTAAATAGTGATTTAAATTTTAGATAACAATCACTTACGTATTAAGGTTTGATCAATTTGAATTAATATTTTGACCAATATACCTTGAAATATTGTACATTTAAAAATGCATTATCTAAGAGCTAAATCTGCTTATTACAGGCCTTTTTCTGGCTTCAAATGTTATATAAACTATTATTTAAACATTTATTAACATGCCAAGCCCATGTGAGATTAATGATAAAATAGATAATCAAGACCGTTGCTTTGATAATAACAAATCTACACTATATTTTGTCAATACTTTGAATACTGATAACTTCACACAGAATATAGTAATTGGACTGAAATTTTCAATAAATTCATTTTTCATTATCTATTTTTATTTACTTCTTACGTAATGCATCATTAATGTTTTTTGAAATACAAATATATATTTGAATTTTTTTAACCAAAAACTTGATATATTATAAAGTGTTTATATTTTCAGGCCAATATGTCGATGTTAGCTAGATATTTATTACAAATAATAGGATCTCTTGTACTTATGTTTGTATTAAATGCATCATTAACTGGTGTGTTGTTAGCTGTTGTACCTATTGTTTCACTTGGTGCAGTACAATATGGTAAACAAATACAATAATTATTATATATTCACGAGGAATAAAAACACATGTTATGAAGTATAAGTTTTCAGTTTTATGGTGGTCCTTCCATATGAAAATAATAAGTGAATACGATACTTCAGTGATAAGGATTCAGGACTCCAGCATACAAACACATGACGTTCTAGTTGAGAGTCTAGTTCCCTAACCACTTGACCACCACAGCCCTAATTCCAAATGAATGTTTTATGAATACATGCAGTTATGAAATCAAAATTACCTACAGGTATATGAATTAGTGGGGGTGCTCAATTATAGCTCCAAAATGTTCTGAACTGTTACTGAGTGATGCAAAATTGAGTTCTGTCAAAATTCTTCCAGTTCCGAAAAAGGATGTGGTGTGAGATGAATCGTGACTTAATGAAGCGTTCAAGCTATGGTGATTGGCCGAGATAGTGTCATATTCAGTTAGTACATGTTTGAAATCTTCAGGTTAAATCATTTGACATGTTTCGGGATATTGAAAGAACTCATTTTCAGAAAAGTTCAATCATGTATCCCTGTAGGCTTCTGAATGTGTTATATGTGATCACAACTAAGACATACAGAAAATATTTTTTTTATGTGTTGTAGGACGTTTTGTGAAGAAATTAAGACAGAACTTCCAGGATAGATTAGCTGATGCTGGTACCACAGCTGAAGAATCTATATCTAGTATTAGAACCGTTAGGATGTTTTCTGGAGAAACCAAGTCTGTTAAACTTTATGGTTCTGATATTGATAAAAGTTATGGTGAGGGTAAAAAATTGGCAGCAGCACAAGGTAAAGTGGTTATTATTTGTATAATAATGTGTAAATGAGCATTGTGAAATGATCCAGATTTCATATACAAATATACGGCCTACTGTTCTGCAGACCTTTTGGACAGTTAGATCATCAGTCGAATGGCGTCTGGGGAAACAGTGGTACCATATTATTTGTCTATATTACCCATACTTTTATGACATTCTTAATTGAACTGTATTTCTACAGGAAGGATATTTTTATTTTATTTCCAATTTGGCATATAATTATTTCAAGTTTCCTTCGTGTCTTATCAGAAGAAAAATCTAATGAAAAATGCTACATATTTCCAGGTGCTTTTGATGGAACCGTTGGTATGTTGGCATATGGAGCTATTATTTTAGTATTATGGTATGGAGGAAAGTTGGTGTATGAAAATTCACAAGATAAAACAAAGGGAATCACACCTGGTTTGTTGACATGTAAGTGTAAGACATTTTTATGTAATTAGGGTAATATTAAAGTCTTTTGTCTGGCTTTGTGTAATTCACTCTCTGATTTATATTTCATAATACTGATCACAGGACACATACAATTACCTCCCTTCTTTACATTTTGTGCAATAACATAGCTGAATAATTCCGATTAGTTCCTAAATTGATAGTTTATTAACTTTTTGGTGTTTTCTTTCCTGGATTATCGCCCTTTTTATTGTTGGTTTTATTACAGGGTGACACAAAAAAAACGTTCATCAATAAAAATCGAATAACTTCCACAATTTTATTTAGATTAACACAAAAATTCAGCTACATTAGGTTAAGTCTATGTAGCAGACATCTCCAAAGTTTCAAGTCTGTACCACAAAAACTCTTTGTTTAACTGGCGCTCAAAAAAATGTTCTCTAAATGAGCTCCCCGGTGCTGCAAGCACATTTGGATCCGGCAGGCAAAGTTCTTGATGACCCTCCCACATTCTTCCCTTGGGATCGCTTTTATTGTTGCTGTGATTGCTGCCTTCAGATCAGGGATAGTCTGGGGGTTGTTGCCATACACCCTGTCCTTAAGGTATCCCCACAGATAAAAATCTGGGGCGTTCAAGTCCGGTGAATGCGGCGACCATTCCGGGTCACACCTGCGGCTGATCAGTCGGTCAGGGAAACGCTGCTGTAGCTATGCCAATGATTCGTTTGAGGTGTGGGGGGTGGCACCATCCTTCTGGAACCACTGGAGGTCCCTGACGACCCCTCTTCGTTATTCAAGTTTAGGTGATGAACACTTTTTTTGTGTCACTCGGTACATTTAACTTTTCACATAATATGGCAAACTACCGCCATTTACGTCTCGTCATTCAGCAGACGACTGCTTGCTTCTTTGTATTCAGTATTGTTTTTTCCTCTGTTTTTTTTTGTGGTAAATGTACCATACACCTCAATTCTTTCAAACGCTTATAATGTTTCTCACTATAACATAGACTATTTAGTTGTAGCGCGCTACCTGACTTTTTATACATTTCACCGATATGGTTACTTGTATAGGTAATTTTTCCCTTTAAAATGCTTACATTTATATTTCATGTGGCATATAACAGATCATGACATGTACTAGTATTTCATAATGTTTTGTGATATATTCCTCCTGATTTTTAGTTTTCATTTTTGAGTGAAGTCTGTATCACTACAGGCCCGTGACTGAACAGCGCAGTGGACACTGACGGCTAGCCCCTGGATCCATTCACTTAATCTGATTCTGATATGACGTTTGTTTGTGATTTCTGCTTATTGTGTCTTGTTTGTAGATTTGTTTTGTGTAATTGTGTGTAGTGCAATCCTCCTGCACTTACTACTTGAGAGATCATTTTACTGTAACAATCAGATATATTTTACTAAAGTTGTTGTACATTAATTTTACCTTGTTCTTGTCATAAAACTGTTTTGAAATTGAAATGTGTTCTTCTGCTCCAATACTAATGTATACAAGTTTATTGTCCATCTTGATAAAACAAATAAAAAAATCTTTTCTTTTTCTTTTTACAGCTTTTCTTCTGTATACACTTCAAGTTGCAATGGCTTTTGCTCTTCTTTCATCTTTATATGGAGATTTTATGCAGGTTAGTCTCATTATTTAGTCAAAAAAAAATTTAATAATGTGCTATCCATGCTAATAAAGATGATTTCTTTGTCAAGTCTTAAATCAATTGCTATTAACCAAGCCTTCTAATAAAGTAGTGAATAAAATTAAAAATGTAACCAGAGAATAATAATAATATGAACTTGAAAGGAATTCACCAGTGGAATATATTTAATAAGCAAAATTATTCATTCTTACATTTATTAGTATTTAATATTCAAATGAAGACAAATACATATTGTAGCTACTAAAATTGTAAATATTCATTTTAGGCCCTTGGTGCATCATTACGTATATTTGATTTAATGGACAGAAAACCATTAGTTTCAAATGAAAACGGAGAAATTTTAGCATTGTTAGATGGACGTAAGTAAAGAGTATAATGATATTACATATCTTTATCACCCTGTGATGTGTCTCATGACTTGGACGTAAACAGTCAGACAAGTTTATTTACTATTAATAACCTAATGTAGGACTCCAAGTGTTACGAGAATATGTAACTTGAAGTAATACTATTAAAATCAAAGACTGTGAGTGAGTTCAAAATGGAGTAGTTGTAAAACCATAGCAGCAATGTAGGCTACATCAATGTACATGACCTGAAATCACTTGAGGAGAAAACTTAATCTTAATTCGTAATTTTCAATGATGTTAAATCATCATGAATTTTAAGTAACATAACTTAACTTTGAACATAGCTTTCTACAACATTTTGTTGCAGTACGAGTACAGTGTAATTTTAAGTAACATAAACTATGAAAGTGAAACAAATTTTGAGTAAACTATTTGTAACCCGTGCTGGCATAATGAGTCACATCGAGGAAATTTTGAAAATTAAGTTATTGTTGTTTTAACATTCTCCAATTCAATACCTCTAAAATGATGTATGGTTGATTTGATTTGGGCAACAATTGACTGAGCTGTGTCCGTTTGAAGCTGCCCAAGCCAGGAAAGTAAGTTTTGAGAAAAAGCAAGAATGTTCCTAAAAAAAATCACATAGCAACTAGGCAATTTATTTGCTATTTTGTTGTTTAATAAAAACATTTCCTATGACAGTGTTACAATTTAGAACAAATGAGAATACTTCATACTTTAGTAATCCATGTTTTTTTATATTGTAACTTTTATGAGAATAACCTCTGTTAATCTCATCAATTAATTAACACCTTTAGTGGTCAAGAGATAAAATTTGTTTATTGGTAATCACGTTTAATTTATTGACCATCAAGAAGCCGCCACACCTGTATGTGTGTTCTGCTATCTTTGTCAGACAAACAAACTAAACTAAGGTTTTGTGTGTACATGTTATTTTCAGGTACCGTAAGGGTATCAGAATCTGAATCACTGATAGAAGAATGATCGAAATTTCATTTGTAAGAGATGCCGTTCACTTTAGAGCCTTTTGGTATAGTGAAATAAACGGCGTAGAATTCTCTCACTCGAGATATGTCGCTTTTCAACTCGTTCGTTGTTTTAATGTTTCCAAACCTTGCTGATAATGAAATTTGAAATAATAATATCCAGTTAGGCATGCTTGTACATTTTATATACCATTTGAAGCCACAGTAAATGAAATTCAACTATCAATATAAATTTATGATTTATTTTTTTTAAGACGAAACGAAATGTCAAATAATAACCACTTGGATTAATTATTCGGGGTAAATAATGACTTGGGAAAGGTTTGATATATATATCATCGACAATTAGGTACACTAGTTGATTAATTTATGATATGTCACGTGGGATGTCTGGGCCAATCAGCGAACATGTTACGCTGCGCTGGCTTGAAACCGGCTTAGGTTGTTTACATTTTTAAACAAATTTGTACTCGATGAAAATGATATCATCGGTAATACTTTGGTCATATTTATAAACTAGAGATGTATGCTTCACAACGATGCCAAGTAGTATGCAAGGATATTATCTGATTGTTCCACAGCAAGCGAAGAAAAATAACTAATTCGCTGAGAATTTTAAGAAAAAAGAAAGATTTATGAATATGGTACTCCCACAAAATGTCCAAATAAAGGTGTTTCAAAATGTTTCATTGCTATTTTGATCTTTTAGGTTGATATATATAGTATATTAGACTCATTTTTGTGAAAATCTTAATTTCGACCAAAATCAATATTTTCACTTGTTTTGCCTGTAGCTCAATATTAGAATTTGCGCCTCCGACTCATTTAGCCAGCATAGGTCACATTTACTGTTTGATAATTGTTTTAATTCTTCTTTATCAGATGTTGAATTTAAGAATGTTTTTTTCACCTACCCATCAAGGCCAGAAACACCAGTTATAAAGGTAAGAAATGATATCTTTTGTTATTTTATTGGTGTTGGGTTCTATAGCCACGACACAATATAAGATAGTAATTATAAATACTGACTGCTGAAAGGAACAAATATAGAAATACAAATTTTACAGTCTTGTGACCACTACCATTGGATAACTTTATAGTAATCATGTTTGTTTACAGGGAATGAATTTGACTGTAAATCCAGGTCAGGTTGTAGCATTAGTTGGTCCGTCTGGTGGTGGTAAATCAACTATTGTTAGTTTAATTGAAAGATTTTATGATCCTGATAGTGGCACAATATTATTAGGTAGGCCTCCAGATTCATAAAAAGGTTTTATTGTAATATTTTCTCTTGAAAAACCTGAACCTTTATTTCGCAAGTGTACCTTCCTTTGGAGTTGTTAAAATCAAATATTGGCTTTCACCTATTTTATTATTTGTTTTATTATCTGTTCTATACGTTTCTTCTCTATCCGCCTCTGCAAAGCTTTTTAAGAAACCAAATATTTATCATTCTGCAGTCTTTAAAGTTTTGGCACCTTCAGTGAGTGCCCGTTCTGAAAAATAAAACCAGTAAGGGTGCATTTACCACCCCCTGCCTCCACTCCACTCCAATACTTGTCTCTAGTAGTACCACCCATGTTCAAGAAAAGCCCATTCTGAGAAGTTGTCCCTTCAGCCACAAATTGCTGGTCATGAAAAACAGAATGTAGAAGCTTGAAATTATTCTTACTCTATTTCTCTGTGGAGTATTTGAGTGTTTTCTATGTTTATATGTGTTTTTGAAGGTGGAAGAGAACTATCAACTTTAGATCCTCATTGGTTTCGTCAGAAGATTTCTATGGTTAGTCAGGAACCTACATTATTTGCCTGTTCTATAAAAGATAATATTGCATATGGTAAAGTAGCAACAGATCAGGAGGTATTTATCTTAATATAAGTCATTCACCTGTTGATGGAAAAATGCACCCTAACATGATATAGGCAATACTATTAGTTATATTTTCTATGCCAATTTAAGGTATTTAGGTCCGGTATTTAAAACCAGGGTACTCACAACTGTTATTCTATACCAAAGTTTCAGTTTATTACTCTTTGTAAATGATGTACATTCATAGCACAAATCACATCTATTTATTTATTGTGTCAAAGAGGTGTTCGTTTAAAGTAAATTATAAGAACATTTCAAAATAGTGTCATTTGTTCAGATATATAACATACAGTTAGCTGTTTTCAAAGATCAGAAACATGTCAACTATTCAAAAGATTAAAAGCAGAGAGATGCAAGTGTCTCTAATACTGTAGTTATATTCTACTATTATGAAACGTTTTCAAAAAGTTCAGTTGTTCGTTTCAGTTGGAAACAAGCATCTGTACTTGCAATCACCTTGTGCCTAGACACGTCAAATGCATGAAGTGTGACAACTTCCCACTTTTTTGGTTGTTTTCAAGTAATATAATTTTTCAGGTTATTGGTGTGTTTTAATTATCTCTAGGTAAAGTTTACAAACAGTTAATTAATCATGTTTATAAGGTTATCCAATGAAAAATTGGAGACAAATACTATGAAAGAGTTGGATAACCTTTATAAATGGCTTTAACAATCATTTTTATACATCCACATTTTCATGTGAATCCAAATAAAAATAAAGAGAGAAGAATCCAAAACCATTTGAATAACATAAACTTTGATGGGATCCAAGTCAAAATAAATTTGATACTATGGCGTCCATTGTGTAGTTGTGTTCTCTGAGGAAGTAAGTTTTTACACTTATGAAACGCTAGATGCTATAAAAGATGGTTTTGTGATAACCATGACTTATTTTTTTACCACATTTTCATGTGGACGTATATTGTTGTCACCCCTGTCCGTCCACAATTTTTATCTGATTTTGATGAAACTTGAAATCTATGTTTAGAACCCAAAGATTTTGGTTCCTTTCGATATTCGCGCATATCGGACCGAAACTTCCTGGATTATAACCCCTGATTGTGTGAAAAATTACGTTTTATATGCCCAAATTTTCATGTGGACGTATATTGTCGTTGCCCCTGTCCATCCACAATTTGTTTGTGGACACTCTACAGGTCACAATTTTTATCCAACTTTGATGAAATTTGAAATATAGGTTTATCTCCCAAAGATCTCGGTTCCTTTCAATATTGGCATGTATCGGATTGTAACTTTATGGATTATGGCCCCTGATTGTATGATAAATCACGTTTTTAGCTTGTGGACACTCTAGAGGTCACAATTTTTATCTGATTTTGATGAAACTTGAAATATATGTTTATAAACCCAGCAATCCTGGTTTCTTTTGATATTTGTGCATATCGGCCCATAACTTCCTATTTTATGGCCCCTGATTGAACGAAAAATCAAATTTTTAGCGTGTGATCCCTCTAGAAGTCAAAATTTTATCCGATTTTAAAAACTGTTTTAATATATCACCGTTGCACCACAAGGGAAATTAAATTCGAATTTCGTGAAAATCAAAACGAAACTGCCCGATAAAATGGCCGCTCCTTGTACACAAATTGTACAATTTTTGTTCGATTTTGATGAAACTTAAACTATATCTTTATATCGCAAAGATCTCAGTCGCTCTCAATATTTGCGCATTTCAGACCATAATTTCTTGGATTATGGCCCCATGATTGTATGAAAATCGTGTTTTGTTTTTAGATTGTTCTCTATCCATCTCTTGAAACATGTGGGCGTATCTTGCCTGGCAACCGCTGGTTAGCTTGTGGTCCCTCTAGAGTTCACAATTTTTATCCAATTTAAAAAACTGTTTGAATGTATCACTGTTGAGTTCGAGTTTTGTGAAAATTGTACTGAAAACTGCCTGACAAAATGGCCACTTCCTGTACGCAAATAGTGTTAAATAATAAAGTATGTAATATCACAATTTTTATCCGATTTTAAAAAACGTTTAAATATATATTACCATTACACCATAATGATGGTTGAGTTCAAAGATATTGGTTCCTTTCGATATTTGCGCATATTGGACCGTAACTTCCTGGATTATGGCCACTGATTGTACGAAAAATCGCTTCTATTTTTTTTTAGCTTGTTCTCTATCCATCTCATGCAAAATTTGGGCATATCTTGCATGGCAACTGCTTGTTATTAATATCTTGCACTGAAACTTTCAGATAAATAGGCTGTTTCTTCAAATTTTGACATTTGATTTCCAAACTTGAATTTAAACTGACTTTTCAGAGATCTACCAAAGCTTGTTTTATTATTTTGGACATATGTAGATGGAGCCAAATTTTAATTAGTTATATTTCTGACTATTGTGAATTTTGTTACAGATAGAGGAAGCTGCAAAACAATCAAATGCTCACGAGTTTATTATGACGTTTGAGAATGGATATGAGACGTTAGTTGGTGAACGAGGTGTCCGACTATCTGGTGGACAGAAACAACGTATAGCTATAGCTAGAGCTCTTATTATGGATCCAGTTATATTACTGCTAGATGAGGTATATGAGAGTAAATGCCATATTTTTAAACTTCCACACTGACATGAAAGTATATTTTAATCAGGGAATACAGTATATATATATTAACTATATAATATATTTTATAGGCTACAAGTGCTCTAGATGCAGAAAGTGAACATTTAGTACAAGAAGCTATAGATCGAGCTATGAAAGGTCGAACTGTTATAGTAATAGCACATAGATTATCTACTGTTAGAAATGCTTCAAAGGTATGTAGATGCAATTATCATTCTGAAAGTAACAAATTGATATTCAACAATAAAACAAATGGTTAGAACTGTTTTTAAGAATCTTTATTATTAGGTATTATTCAGTGGCTTTAAAGATGAAATACTCTCAGTCAAATATAAATTGCATTCCAACACAAGTATGTTCCTCAGTTGATAAGTTTTCTGTGCCAGTCAGTACTCTAAAAAATTATCTGAAATAGTAATCTGTGTTAATTACCTGATAATAATAGTAATTATTTCATGTATATAGCACCATAAAACCCAGCCAGTGATTGCTCTAAGAAGCTTAGAAATGAAAATTTAAATTTCTTTAAAATAGAGTTAAAATTTTAAAATAAGTTAGATTAAAGATATTACTTCATTGAAAATGTTTGAAAAGTTTTGGATAAAATATTTTATTTTTAATGACCAGGTTATTGTGATAGAAAAAGGTGAAATAGCAGAACAGGGTACACATGATGAATTATTAGCTCATAATGGTGTATATAAGAGACTAGTATTACGTCAATTAACAGCTGGTGGTATGAATATTGATCAACTAGATATCAACTCTGTACAAAATGGTGATACTGTTGAGAATGATACAGACAAATAGATATTTTTCTAATAGATTTGGTACATACAAATAGATGTTTTATTATAGGTCATAGAGAGGTGGAGACAAATAGATTTTATTTTTCCATTTTATTTTACAACATGGTCATCCCTATGAATCAATAAAAAGAAATGGGGTTTAATGCCAGTTGACTTGATGACAGACCTTATGATACAACGCTCACACGCTAATCATTCAGCCATCCACCCCCCACCCTGCCCTGTGAATCAATAATGTGATCCCAATAGGCCAATAATGTGACTTTGGTCCATATTATCGATGATCCCAGTCTGCTTGCATTCTACAAAATGGTAGAGATGTATACAATATATTAAAATAGCATTTAATTTGGTATTGTCAAATAATTTATTTATTGTGTATTAGTCTTATAGTCGTTGAATGAAGCTATAGACAGTCAGTTAGAATGGCATTTAATGTTATGTAAGTGAGTATTGTCAAATGTTTTATGATATATGTCTTGTTTGTATGTCTTGTTTACACTATAACCACCTTAATCTACATCTCCATAGGGCAATTATTTTTTATTTTTTTTGGGGGGGGGGGCATTATTGCAATCCAAACTAGCCTCATATTTACAAGTTCTGATGGGTGTTGTGTACTATTTTCGACAGCACTTGATATTGAGATCATCATTGTCCTCCCAAATTTATGTAGCTAACACATTTGGGTTGACATTGATAGTTGAATATTGAGTAGGTAATTTGTATATTGTTAGGACTTTGTCTTTGATTTGTCCGGCAGTTATTCTGCTTTTCCTGTAGTTTTAATACATGAATACTTTCTCCTATTACAATAAAAAAAACAACTATATGTAACATATATCTAGAGAAAGTGCTCAAATTATATTATCTTATGTTCAGCATATATCACTTCGTTTCATTCATTAAAGCCGCTGGTCATCATTTGGATATTCCTGCACCCACCTACCATATTAATGTGACACCTGGATTCTCTAATGGTCACAACTGTCAACTATATCTAGAGATAATCTTTAAGTGGCATTCATTAACATGGATAGAGTAACTATAACACAGTTTGATAACATTGAGAGAATACTCTTTCAAACCTTGCCTAAATATATTAGTAGCTGTTGGTCCATAGATATGTGTTATAATTTATCAATTTTCAGAGGGTTTAGATATTCCCAATGGCAGATCAATTCCACTCTGTTGGTGCTGAAGTGGAAAAAGTCTTTAGGTCATTGCATATATAAACCGGTAATAGATATTTGTTATATTGTTGGATATTATTTGGCAACAAATTTGTTTCCTATTTTAAGATTAATATGTATATTAGAGGTGTATAAAATTAATATTTCTAAATTATTGAAGAGAATAATATTATTAGTCCATTTTTACCTCAGTGTTGTTTCTTATGTGGGCAGATTTGTAAATTTATTTTATTCAAATTATCACTAATTAGCTCAAATGATTTTGTTAAAATAAATTAGGTATTTTTACATCTTTAGATTTGGTGTGTTATGTAAATTGGTTGTAGACTCTATCCAATACATATTGGATATTGCTATGAACAACCTACATCTTGACATATTATTACCGACTGACCGTGACCTTTGACATGCACAAAAAGTCATCCTCCCTTTTGGTAGACAACCCCCAGGGGCGTGGCACGCTCAATTTTTTGTTAATATTTTGTCTGTGAATTCTCTACAGGTTGCGAGTGTTAACAGATTCTGTTCAAATTTGGCATGACTAATCATTTCAATAACAGGATTGTACCGGCAACGTGAAGTTGGCAGGTTATTTGGGATTCGGCACTAAAATAGACCGACCTACCTACTAAGCATCCAACCATTTCCTTGTTACCTCCAACTGTAGGGGTAAGTGAAGGTTGGGTGGGCGACTAGCAAAGAGATGACCGTTTTTCAAGCGTACAGGGTATTGACTGGTTTGTTGGCGTGCACAAGGCAGTCCTATTACGCACTCACCTGCATTATTGCCGAATCCCGAATAACCTGATGGCAATAAAACAGAATGGCCTACCTTGCATCCGACCATTTCCTCGTTACCTCCGACCGTAGTTGTAAGTGAACATTGGGTGGCCAACTAGCAAGGAGATGACTGTTTGTCAAGCGAGTAGGGTGTTGACTGGTTTGTTGGCCTGCACAGGGCAGTCTTCTCCCTCTCTCACCAGTGTTATTGCCTAATCCCAAAAAACGTGCCAGCACAGGTTTCAGGATTCGGGATTCACTTAACAAACGATAGTCTTCTTGTTAGCTGGCCACCTAACGTCAACTACCCCTACGGTCGAAGGTAGCGAGGAAATGGTCGGATGCATGGTCGGCCCGTCTGTTATAGTGCCAAATCCCAAATAAGGTGCCAACGTCATGTTGCTAATCGTACCTATTTATTTGGTCCATGTCCAACTCCCAGGGTCATACCCAATTTTTGTGTTTATCGACTACAGGCCGCAATTCTGAATGGATCATCTTGGAACTTGCCACTCCAATTTTTTGGATAATATTTTGTCTAAATTTGGCAAAACAAACACACCGGTTAGTCTTTTTTGTTTTTTGTCTCTTGTCATATTACAGTCATTGCAGCCATTTCATATTTCATTCTCTTCATTTTAAAAAGTACCATATCAATCAAAGAAGGTATGTGGACGGATCATGCAGAGATAGTGTTGCTCTTGTTATTTTTGACTTGCTATCACTATATCAAAGGCAATAACTTCATGAATAATTGACAAATCACATTCAGATTCATCCAAGATTGCATTGACATAAAGTAGCTTCTATGTGATGACCGTATTTGATGAACATCTCCAGGTGGAATGACAAAAATCCTAGCTACAAGTATGTTGATTGCATTACAACGAATCTCAATCATCTTTAATAATAGGATGAGTGACTGTAAATAACGCGCCAAATTAATGGAGCGGGTGTCTTAGTTGGCTGATTATAATCTGCTACATCCATTTGATGTATGAAACAGTCGATTGATAATAAGAAATGAACCGGTCGCGATGTTTTTTATATATTGGTTCAACTACGAACAGTTAAGTCTAAATTGTTGATTAAATTCCTAAATAATTCAATGTGAATTAACAACCCAAGCTGTATTAAACAAAAAGTTGAGTTTTGATGCCACCAAAATCGAACTCATTCAAGATCTTTTGATTCTTAACATATTTGTCAAGTTTTATCTGAATCAAACAAAACGGAATGTCCAATGCATTCCAAAATCAAACCCATCTGAGATCTTTTGATCCTAAATATATATTCAGTCTGATCTGAATCAGAAAAAAATTGGGTCCTCTGGAGGGTCCACAAACTTTGTACATATTTCACATAAAAGGCAGGGGGAATAACTTCCTAACAGAGGGTCTAATGCCGACCAAAATCGAACCCTTCAAGAAACTTTGACCCTTAACACTTATTTTAAGTGTCATCTAAATCAGACAAAAATTGTGGTCTATCTAGGGTTCACAACCTTGGTATACAGGCTTTTGCACTATTTGTGTAAAGTGGAGAGGTCATTTTGATTGTATGTTTCGGTCCAATCTTCACGAAATTCGAACTCAAACGTGATTATGGTGTAACATTGACAGGGCAATGGTATATGTCAACAAGAAAATGTGGGCGTATATAAAAACCGTTCGAACATGATAGAGGCTTAAGTCTTTGATGGATTTGTTTCAAATCTGGTGTAAGAACCCTCTAGATAATTAGCTTTCCCAAAATACCCTTTGAACGCTATTGAGTCTGCAGTTTTAACAGGGTTTTTTTTTCAAGCTTGAGAACATGATAGAGATTAGATTTCTTAAAGACATCCAATTTTCCCTTGGATAAGTTGCTATCGAGCAGCTATAGCTGCTGTGCTGGTGTATAATTCCATGCTTGGTGTGGTTATCTTTGTCATAATAAATGCAAATTATGATAACTCAACAAAGGCCAAGTAAAAGTTCAAAACATTTGACCCATTCCCTCTTTAGCTGATCCTGGCATCTGGCCACCTCTTCCCAAGTTTTCTGTAAGGTCTGCCCCTGGTACTGTCTAAAATTCAAAATATATATATCATATATTTATTACATTCAAATAGAAAATATACTACAAAATACTATAAATATATTACTATCACATTTATATCATAAAATAAACAGTTATATTTTGATTTCACTGTACATTACATAATAGCAAAGCTTTTAAACACATATATGTACATTACTTTGATTTTAGTTGCTTTAAGAGTGTGGATAGGGCTTTGATATATGTCACAGATTTCTTTTATTATTTTTTTACATAGATTGGCAAGAATCCACAAGATACAAGTCACTGCTTGGCTCCTGATGCAAAATAATAGCTTCTATTTCAACTATTTCCAATAAATGATTATATATTTTTTAATAAATGAGGCAAAAACAACTCTAAATGTCTACACAAGGATGAAATGCATCTAGAGACTTGAACCAATGGCATGGCCCAATTAGTTTGGGTTAAAGTATCTGATGTTCATTTACATTTTACAGACAATAAGTAATTGTGCATGGCTTAATCTACGCTGATGAAATGTATTTCAATTGATTATTTAACATTTAACTAAGAAATCAAAATATTGATATTCCGGCTTGGATTCAATTGGATTAAAAATATGCACATGAAAGGATTTTGCAAAGATTATAGGTTTAACTGCCATGTTGTGGATGTCAAATGTTAACAAATTTTCAATTTATCATATCTTTGAAACTAATGAACCATTTTGGACAGATATTGCTTTTTGGGATTCAACTTTAACAGTTGTTTGCAAGGGATTAACATTCCAAAACATTTCTTTGAGAGACTGTTAAAATAAAAAAATTGTCCAATGTAGCCTAAGAAGCATGTAGACGTTTATAAAAATATATTAACATTTATTGTAAAAGGTAGGTTTCCCCACACACCAATAAGATTTTGAGCTCAAATTTTGGATTTAGTGTTTATCATGCTTACACTGTTTTAAAAAACAAATTTCTATGACACAAAGTTAGTGCAAATGATAGGCTTGGCAGAACTCTCTACAAAGAAAATTAAGGTTGCTATCTAAATGGCAATCTATATTTAAAGAATGCCACTGACTGTTAAAAAATGAATTCAATTTAATCTAGGAAAACCATCAGGCAATTCAAATTAGATTGCGTTTCATAAAGACAAAGGCATTTATATGGATATGTTGCTCTATTTTGAATCATTTCAAATTTGGTAAGAAAGAGAGAGAGACACAAAGTAGGTCATTTAAATTTAATTTCAATATTTCACATGCAGGTAGGGGAAAGAAAGAGAGAAATGGGGTTTAACGTCCACTCGACACAAACCAGGTCATTTCGGGACTAACACATGGTTCAATTTTATTTCAATAATTCACTTGTGACTAGGGGTCTTTAGCAGTGGGAGGAAACTGGAGGACCCGGAGAAAACCCATGAGGTTGGACAGGCGACCCAACTCCTTGTCACGTACAACCAGAGAATCAAAACCCCCGCCAGTTGACTCAATGACAGACCTTATGATACAGCGTGCACGTCCTAACCATTCAGCGCCATCCGACCCCTGCACGTAGTGGTCTTTAGCAGTGGGAGGAAACCAGATGACCTGGAGAAAACCCACGAAGATGGACAGGCAACCCTACAACCAGGGAATCAAAACCACGCCAGTTGACTCAATGACAGATCTTATGATACAACGCCCAGGCGCTAACCACTCGACCATCTACCCCCCCTAATTTGTATATTACAGAATATGAAATCAAAGAAATTAATTTTTATGTGCAAATACTATACCGGTACACAGAACATGTTTTTGGACTAGGATTCTCTATTCTTTATCAAGCAATATTTTTGGTCACCTTCAAGGTAATTACATGTAGTAGTACATCTATGGTCATCATTAAAGATACATTATGTAAGATTTAGATAAAGAGCTAGCCATTCTTGCTATAATAGTTCGAAAATAGATAATGTAAAATGAATAATTTGAAAATTTCATTCAAATTACTCTATTGCGAGCGAAGATATTAGCCTTTGAAGGTTTGACAAGACGTGTGCAATAATTTCAACCACTGTACTGGTTGTTCGAAGCTAAGTCTCGCTCCTCCATTTTTATACGTCCACATTCATAATGTGAACGTATTATGCCGTCGCCCCTGTCTGTGTGTGTGTGTGTGTGTGTGTGTGTCTGTGGTTCGCCTACAGGGCGCAATTCTTCATGGATTTTCTTCAAACTTGGTATACTTATTCCTTATACCCCAAGGAAGATCCCTATTGTTTTTGGTGCATGCCCGACCCCCCGGGGCAGAGCCACGCCCATTTCTAGTATTTGTTTGTTTGTCGTCTACAGGCCACATTTCTTAACTAATAATCTTGAAACTTTGCATACACATTCTTTGTACCCTAAGGAACATCCCTATCGTTTGGGGTGCATGCCCAACCCCCAGGGGCAGAGCCACGCCCATTTTCTTTTCGTGTGTCTTTGTGTCGCCTACAGGGCGCAATTCTTACTGGATTTTCTTCAAACTTGGTATACTTATTCCTTATACCCCAAGGAAGATCCCTATTGTTTTTGGTGCATGCCCGACCCCCAGGGGCAGAGCCACGCCCATTTCTAGTATTTGTTTGTTTGTCGTCTACAGGCCACATTTCTTAACTTATAATCTTGCATACACATTCTTTGTACCCTAAGGAACATCCCTATCGTTTGGGGTACATGCCCAACCCCCAGGGGCAGAGCCACGCCCATTTCCCATTTTCTTTTCGTGTGTCTTTGTGTCGCCTACAGGGCGCAATTCTTACTGGATTTTCTTCAAACTTGGTATACTTATTCCTTATACCCCAAGGAAGATCCCTATTGTTTTTGGTGCATGCCCGACCCCCAGGGGCAGAGCCACGCCCATTTCTAGTATTTGTTTGTTTGTCGTCTACAGGCCACATTTCTTAACTTATAATCTTGCATACACATTCTTTGTACCCTAAGGAACATCCCTATCGTTTTGGGAGCATGCCCAACCCCCAGGGGCAAAGCCACGCCCATTTTCTTTTTTATGTCTGTGTGTCGCCTACAGGCCACAATTCTTCATCAATCGTCTTGAAATTTTTTCATATGAATTGCTTATACCCTAACGGTGATCCCTATTGTTTTTTTTACCCCCAGGGGCAGAGCCACGCCCATTTTCTTTTCTTTTTAGGTCTGTGTGTCAACTACAGGCCACAATTCTTAATCAATCGTCTTGAAAATTTTTCATATGAATTGCTTATACCCTAACGATGATCCCTATTGTTTTTGGTGCATGCCCGACCGCCAGGGGCAGAGCCGCGCCCATTCCTTATATTTATTTATTTGTATGTCATCTACAGATAGCATTTCTTATCGTATCACCTTGAAACTTGGCATACATATTCCTTCTATCCTAAGGAACATCCCTATTATTTGTGGTCAATACCCAACTTTCAGGGGCAGAGCTACGCCCATTTTCTTTTTTTTTATGTCTGTGTGTCACTTGCAGACCGCATTTCTTAATCGATCGTCTTGAAAACTGTTTTATACTTATTCCTTTATACTTATTCCTTAAGCCTAAGGCTGACCTCTATTATTATTTTTGGTGTGTGTCTTGTCTTTTGCCTACAGGCCGCAATTCTTAACAGATCCTTTTGAAACTTTGCATACCTATTCGAAACGTCATGCTTTTAGAATAAAGACATCGATTGTTTTAAAACAAAAATTGCGTTCTGTTAATGTGAACGAAATGTTAAACTGATAGCAGTCCTACAACTCAGTTTTATTTCACAGACCCTCAATGCAAACTGGACCATATCAAACAAAACAGGAATGTGGACGTATATTGCTGCGTTAGCGATGCTCTTGTTAAATTAAATCAAAATAAGGCTGAACCTTTCTAACCTATTTAATATCGGAGAAATCTGATGCCATCGAGAGTTGATTATGGCCTGGATCAGTTAATTACTGTCTAATTAATAATTTAGAAAACATTCCAGGCCTAAAGAAAGACCTGCAATAGGCAGATTTAGCTCTTGCATAATGTATGTTTAACTAAGTTGTTTGTTTTATTGTTTACAAGTATATAATTTCTCATCTTTTTATCACAGTATTATTGCTTGATAAAGATGATAGAATAGTTGAAAAATCTCCAGTTCAATTACCACATGCCATTGAAACAAGTGAAAATATGAGCATGTTTATTTATTATTCCTCAGAAAATATAACAAAACATTCAATTAAAAAAAAACAAGACATATATTATTTTTTTCTTTGTAAATAAAACAATAATTAAAAAATTCATAAATATAATTAACAACAATTAAATACACATTGGCCCCATATACATAAAATCATACAAAAACACATACTCACATAAATATAATATTAATACAACTGCTAACATCAAAAGCTTAATTTATAAAACTAACATTGCCTAATAGGTTACATTAATACATAAGCAATTGCATTAGGGTGTAAATGGTATGCATTGATAATAATTTGTAATACAGAACTTGAACAAACAGGTTTCGCTCTCAGACACCCAGAGTTGACAATGGGTTTTAGAGAATGACCAACTGCAAACTACTACAGTAAGTATTCAGGGTAAACACAAATCAAGCTCAAACTAAATATTTGTTTCAACAATTAAATTTAATAATTATTGCATTATTGAATGTGTTAAATAATGATCACATTTCAAATATTTTAATCTTATAAAATAAATAAATTACATAATTAGAACATGAAGTAACTGAAAAGCAAGAACAATTGAGTTCATCTTGTGCCTGCTGTTCAATTGAGCTCTGTTTATTCATCAATTGAGCCCATTATTGATTGATTAGGCCTTCTTCAAATATATGTATTCACTTGTCATGAAGATAATTTGACATAAATGTCTTAGAACTAAAAATAAAATATGTAACAAAATCCTAAGAACTTTAAATGTTCTAAGTCGATCACAAAGTCAGGGGAACAGACTCCACGAGTTAATTTGAACGATCATACATGTGTACATTTTAACAATCATTAAATTATGTGGAGAGATATCTTTTTCACCTAAAAAACACACCTCAGATTGTCTCATTTATATACTTGTATTACATCATGTTTTGAAACTATAAAAGGATAAAATTTCTCATACTACATGTACTGACGTAAAAAAGAGTAAATCTTTTTGAATTCCATCAAAAGTCTGGACACAAAATCTTGTCATCTCCCTCATTTATCTCAATATATTTTCCTAATTGTTCTTTTAGTTTTTCTTGCTCTGTTTCACCAAATCCAATACATTCCAAATAATTCTTAATACAACCGTACCTGGAAAATAAAAGTATAATATTCAATGACACTGTTCCCAAAATATGGAAGAGCAATTAGATATACTTGAGTTTTATATTTCTAGTGATGATTTTGTTAGTAGAAAATTCTTAATATTTTCAAGGGCTTCCATATGTATCATGTAAAAAACAATGTCTTGATTTTATTTTTCAGTTTTTGTCAACAATAATTTGTCTGGTCTGCAAGTTGTTACATGCAACTCGCCGTCTTTGTGTAATGAGGGAGAGGTGAGGGTTGATGACCACTCAACATAATCTACGTCATATCGAGACTAAAATATCATGCAATTTTATTTCGATAATGTCATTTACAAGCTTGGAATAGAAACCAGACTCTAGACTAAATGACAGATCTTATGATCAAAAGTGCACATATGTTAGACCACTTGACCCCGCCACCCCCTCCTTTGTATAGTGATCAGAATTGACTTACTTTTCACAAATATAATCCAATAATTGATTCATAGTATCAGCTTCTGCGGTTACAAATTCTTCACTCATATGAAATCTCTTTACTATTTCAGTGTATAGTCGTTCCTTCATATTTAATGTACCCATCTGTAAATTGATACAACACAAGTTATACTCTTTTTACCCAGAACAGTATGTAAAATACATGTACAATAAAATGGAGTTATGTAACTGTAACAGGGATGGAAATAAGTTGCACCATTACTTTCTCGGTAGACTTAACTGCTATGTCTCATGTTTTTTTCAAGTTCTATTTGCGATAGAAGAAATAAATTGTATTTGTGTTAAAAAATACATTTTAAATTGTAACATACAAGTAAAGACTTTGCAGTAAGATAATGATCTGAATGTCACAGTGTAACAAACTATACACTGTAGCAATTGTTATCCATAATATGCGATTCAAAGACTTCATCAAAGACTTCATGTAGAAGCTAGGTTTTTTTATGTCAAGAGTGTGCAATCTTTTCATTGAAAATAAGCCAAAACAGTTCAACTGTTCTGACAGCGCAATCAGAGATTATAGTTAATATTGTGGGGGGCCTGGGACAAGTCAATGGGGTTGGGGAGAGGAGGGGGGGGTAAATTAAGAAGCACTCCCAGAAATTGTTGAAAATATATTTGATGTAAAAGGGGCCCTATCGAATGCAACAGCCAGCCAGGGGTTAAAATGGGCCCCATGATTGTGGACCAAATGAAGGCCCAAAGAATGACCTTAATATTTTGACATCTCAATTAGTACCTCATCCAATGGAACTTTTGATCTTGTACTCCACTCAAAATGGGACCACCAGCATCTGACCTACTTTGCCCATTGTAAGGGGTGTAAAGCTGGGGAGGGGTGTCGGTTTCAAAATAAGTGGAGGCACTGCAGTCGGTCTCAGAATTATGTATTGTCAATTAAATGAATATATCTGTGTATACGTATGAACCCCCTAGAAAAAAGCTTGCACCAGCTCGTGGTTGCGTTACTCGTATTAGGGGCCGGTGCATCAGTTGGTCTCATTTTTGCCAAGCACCACTCCATACAAAATCGATACGTAGGCCTACACCCCTGCCCACCGTAAATACGATACTGATGCATTCGTGTACATTATGTCCAACAAAAAGAAAACCTGTTGAAAAACATTAGTACATGTATCTATTTCAGTGACCTGTATGTGAAATTGTGGACGTAGAACTACAATTAAATATATGCCTCAACAGAAATGAACTAATTTTGTTGTCTTTATTGACCTTCCTGTGAACATTTAATCCATAGACAATAAGTCTGTCAATATTAGCGTAATAAATGTTACATAAAAATACTGAATTAAATAAAACCTGATATAACAGTTTCTTTTTGTACTGATAAAAGGTCAAGTGGCTTTAGGGGTTAAGAATAAATATTTACCCTTGATAAAGCATATTCTGTAATGATATATTGTCTGGGTAAACCAAGACAAGATAAAACTAATGCTGATACTATCCCCGTTCTGTCTTTGCCATGAGCACAATTAATTAAAACTGGATAATTTTCATTATCTGTTAAAAGCTTCAAAGCTATAAAATATAACATAAATTCATTTGAAACTTATTTTCAAGAATTTAGTGGTTTAAACAACCTTGTTAAGCTGTTTGTTTACATGTTTTAATGGGATGAGGGTGTATGCATAGATATTGAAATCATAAATAACAAATCTGCGATAATTTAATCATAAAATACAATTGGCAAAAAATTGGGTAATACATTAAAAAAAGTGAGTTGACCTATGCTCTCAGTCTCATCTCCATCTTCTTTTTTCCAATGTATTCAACAATAATATTATAATGATGATAATAATAATAATGTTTCATACCTGCACAAATACTTCTCTGGCTCATGTCAATCATATCTTTGTACTGGCCAATCAGACCGGTTGGATTTAACACGTTCCGTGCAAAAAATCGGACAAAATACATGTAACCTGTGTTGAAAATAATGTCTATTGCAAGAAATATTAGAGAATAGAGTTGCAGATACCATGGTGCTCGTTTAAATACTGTCCAAATATAGGCTGCACTAAAAAAGTCTAACAAGATATGTTGTCCAAGTGGGGTGTTGTCTGAACTTTGATCTCCAGCTTCCTGGTTCACTTTACCTTTTGCTAGTTTAGTAAACCATTCAAAATTGCATCGTCTGTTAGGAACTGACTTCAAAATGACTGTTTCATTTGGCTTATAATTTCTTCCGTGCGGAAAAGCCACTTTGTAAACAGGATAGGTTTCATCCAAAACTTTTTTACCATTAGCTTTCCTATATTCCTTCTTGGATCTAAAGTCCAATATTCTCTTAATTTTTAATTTTTTGAAAAATGACAATCCTCTTTCGTCCAATAAATCTGGGCGTGATGATCGGTACAGAACTACATTTTTTGACTTTTCTGAGTCTGCATTGGTTTTTGGCCCCCAGAGAACCCTGAAATTTGGCAAAGATGCAATTTCCAAAAACAACTTTTCACTGGGGGCTGCCATGTTGATGTATGCACTGAATAAATTTTGCAACTATGATTGGTTGAAAGAAATAATACCTTTTCTAAGGTAAGGGGGAGGTAATGCAATCTATCTTCAGAATAAAATTTACCGTTACACTAGTTACAGAGCAGTTATATTTGTTTTGATGGGTAGTTTCTCTGATCAGCTTACGATATGTTGACAGTTTCATTGTAACTGGCATTCCGAAGAGTTAATAATGTCAAACATGTCGAATGGCAGCGATGAGTCGCTGGGTTCCACCGAGGAGATCATAACGGTTCGTGAAATTAAGCAGCAGACACCTATAATGACAAGATCTGCCTTTTCCGTCGGAAGGGATCACAGTGATGAATCCAATAGTCAGTGGTCACCTACAAGATCCCCAACACGATCCTCGCAAAATGCAACGGTAATATATTAAACTATTCCGTTAAAATCGGTATCTTTATTAGGAGGTACTTTAAAACATTGTGTAACTACCGTATATTAACTCTTGAGTTATTGTGCTTATTTCACATATAACTTAATATTTCCACTTTAAATTTGTGATAAAATGATTGTGTGGAAATGAAAAATAAGAAAAAAAAGTTAGATATTCTACAACCAAGATTTATCCACGTTTTATATACTTTATCATCAACGAATATAAAACGTATTTTAAATGAAAATTGCCATGGACACAAAAAATCTATTGTATTAATTTTATAGATAAGATTAATAAAATTATGATAAATTAACTTTTCTTCAAGGTCAGAAAAAATATGATAATAAAAACCCATGGCTTGGTTTTTAATCAGTTTTTTGTCACATTCATTAATAATGCATTGATGAGAGAGTTTGTGATAGGGTAGAATGATATATATTTACCTTACAGAAATATGTTGCAACTAATTTGTGTATATATGTTGTTTAAATGGTATTAAGTAATGTTATTCCAAATAGTTATTTTTATACGCCCACATTTTCATGTGGACGTATTATGCGCTCGCTCCTGTCCGTCTGTCCACATTTAATAGGTCACAATTTTTATCCGATTTTGGCGAAACTTGACATTATAGGTCTATCTCCCAAAGGTCTCGGCTTCTTTCGATAGTGGCATGTATCGGACCATAACTTCATGGATCATGTCCTCTGATTGTAAGAAAAATCACGTTTTTAGCTTGTGGACACGCTAGAGGTCACAATTTTCATCTGATTTTGATGAAACTTGAAATGCATGTTTACATGTATTACCCAAAGATCTTGGTTCCTTTCAATATTCACGCATATCGGATCGTAACTTCCTGAATTATGACCCCTGATTGTACAAAAAATCACGTTTTTAGCTTGTGGTCCCTCTAGAGATCACAATTATTGTCCGATGTAAAAAAACATTTGAATATATCACTGTTACACCGTAATGTTGGTTGAGTTCAAATTTTGTGAAAATCAGACCAAATTGCCACCCCTTTGTACGCAAATAGTGTAAACATCTGGTATATCCAGGTTGTGGACCTTCTAGAGGTCAAAATTGTGATCCGATTTTGATGAAAGTTGAAATACTTGTTTATAAACCAAAGATCTTGGTTCCTTTCGATATTCACGCATATCGGATCATAAGTTCCTTGATTGTACACCAAATTGTGTTTTTAGTTGTGGTCCCTATAGCGGTCAAAATTTTTATCCGATTTAAAAAAAACATTTGAATATATCACACTAATGATGGTTGAGTTCGAATTTCATGAAAATCGGACCAAAACTGCCGGACAAAATGGCCACCCCTCATATGCAAATAGTGTAAAAATATGGTATTTCAAGGCTGTGTACCCTCTAGAGGCCACAGTTTTTATCCACTTTTGATGAAACTTTACATTTATGTTTATATCACAGAGATATTGGTTCCTTTTGATAATCGCACATATCCGAACGTAACTTCCTGGATTTTGGCCCCTGATTGTTCGAAAATCACATTTTTAGCTTGTGGACCCACACGCTAGAAGTCACAATTTGTATTCAATTTTAAAAACTGTTTCAATATATCAGCGTTACACATCAATGAAGGTTGAGTTTGAATTTCGTAAAAATCTGACTGAAACTGCCAGACAAAATAGCCGCTCAATGTATGCAAATAGTGTAAAAGTATGTAATACCAAGGTTGTGGTGTTGTGGACACTCTAGAAGTCACAATTTTTATTTGATTTTAATGAAACTTGAAATGTATGTTTATAATCCAAAGATTGTGGTTCCTTTTGATATTTGCACATATCAGACTGTAACTTCCTGGATTATGACCCCTGATTGTACGAAAAATCTCATGTTTATCTTGTGGACCTTCTAGAGGTCACAATTAAAGAAGACAAAATGGTGATATATTTATAAACTAAAATTACCCAAAGAACCCTCAGAATCTTTTTAACAAGATAATTATTACAATGGTTGATTTTCAAGTGTTTACATATGTGGTTATCTGGCGACTACATTATAACATGTGTATTGAATAGATTGTCACGGAAGGTTCCATTATATACTTAGCAATCTGATTAAAACACAGATCCTATTTCATTTTGTTTTTTTTATTTTGTTTTACCTGTCTTCACAACACTTGGATCTGGAAGAGTTGTTATGTAACAGGCGTTCTAGTTGATGTGAGGAATTAGCCAATGAAATGGTCTGTCACAGCGAGTTCTTGGCGTGTTCTGCACAGAACTGTGGGTAAACCCCTAGAAATGTCAACGCTGATTGATTAATCAATGTCTGGCGTCATAGGGTAAAAAAAAGCCGATCGTATGACCCTTGACGTGACCTTCCCAGTACAACTGGTCAGATCTTCATGTAGTGTAGGCCATTGAAAGTATAAAAAAACTAAATGAAATATAGATCTGTATTTTAATCAGATTGTATACTTAGAAAATATAATCTAGTTATTATATATTATACATCAGGTATTATTATTTTCTTCTTTTCAGGGAAACTTAAGAGGTGATCATCCCTTTCCTCCTATTATACCATTAAATGTTGGGGGTGTTACATACATGACAAGATTATCAACATTGTTACGTTATCCTGATTCTATGCTTGCAGCCATGTTTAGTGGAAGGTATCAAATAGATTTGGACAAAGACAATAATTTCTTTTTGGATAGCAATGGTGCCATATTTGGTCATATATTGGAATACTTGCGACATGGAACATTACCACCATATGATATGTGTAGTTTAGTTCACAGGGATGCAATGTATTATGGACTGGTTGAACTTGCTGAACAATTGTCTTTAAAACCAGAAATGGCCACAATTGCCGTGCGGGAAGCTCACAGGGGTCAATTTCCTAACTACCAACATGTAAAAGAGACTGTGATCAAAGTTGGTATTGAAAATGCCACTTGCAACAAAATTGGTGGAGTTGTGATTCATGCAATGAGGACGGAATTCAAACCTAAAGTACAAAATTTTAACCCAAAACATGGTTGTGTTGTGGAGCAAGCACATGTTAGTGTTGGACCATGGGAAGGTTTAGCAGACGAAGAAGTATTTATACGATGTTTAGAAAGTGACCTGATTGAAGAAGGCTTTAATATCAAATCCCATGATGGCAAAAGAAAATGCAAATATTATTATGGCCAAACTTGCCAAAAATTTGTTTTTAGAATTCAGTTTGTATTTGATTAATATACTTTACAGCCATGCTTCCTTATAAGGGAAATGTGGTATATATACTCTTCAAAAAAACGTAGGGGATATTCAGAAACAATACACAGTGTTTAAGGTCATGAGACGAAGAAGCCTATTGATTTTCAGCGATTTCCGATAATTACTGCCAGAGTTATGGCCCTTGATCACTTTGAAAAATCTTGTGGACGCTCTAGAGGCTAAAGTTAATATCCAATTGACTTTAAATTTATACACAGTGTTTGAGGCCATGAGACGAAGAATCATATTGATTTCGGATAATTACAGCCAAAGTTATGGCCCTTGATCACTTTGAAAAATCTTGTGACGCTCTAGAGGCTAAAGTTATTATCCGATTGACTTCAGATTGATACACAGAGTTTAAGGTCTTGAGACCAACAAGTATATTGATTTTCAATGAATCTTTATGAAATGAAATGAAATGAAATGGAGTTTAACGTCCTACTGTTGAATCTTTATGACTTGAACAGCTAAATCCATGATGTTAAAAATTTCGTATACTAAACGTTAGCATGGGGCAGAAGTTTATAAAAACCAACAAATTCTAATGATTTTCTTATAATTACTTAATGAGTTGTTACTCTTAATCAGATTTTAATGTAGTATAAATGTCTCACTTCACCAATCCTCAGACATTCAGCAATTCGTCATGGCATGCTCCTAATCAACCGTCCAATCAAGATTTGGGGCAATCTGACCCACTCCTCTTGCAGTGCCACGGTCAATTCTTGCAATGTTGTCGGTTGACGTCGACGAACACGCCTTCCGATCAAATTAAACGTAACACACTAAAGCAAAGATACGCTTAACAGTAAATCTTATGCAAGAACCGATAGGAAAGCAAACATGGATAGGATAAACCAGCAAGCGGCAGTTTTCATCAACCCTTCCTTGAAGTGTCAAATTTGACAATGAACCCCTCCCATGTGTATGGTGCTATTGCGTGTCGTACATGCAGCTCAGTGGTTCTGTTGGGGAGATAAGTTATTCATCTGTGAACATACTCTCAAAGCATGTCAAGTGTCCATGATTATTTATCATGTCACAACTTGCGTAGGTATTTGATTTTCAATATCCCCAACTTTTTTTGAAGAGTATATATATATATACAATACAAGAGAGAGAGAGAGAGAATAGGGTTTAATGTCCACTCAACACAAACTAGGTCATTTCGGGACTAACACATGGTTCAATTTTATTTCAATAGTTTGCTTGCGCATAGGGGTCTTTTGCAGTGGGAGGAAACCGGAGGACCCAGAGAAAACCCACAAGGTTGGACGGGCGACTCTACTCCTTATCACGTATAACCGGGGAATCAAAACCACACTCAATACCACAAGACAGTCACATTCTATACATGTGTTCTGTACATGATATGCCATGCATTGGCTAAGTATTCGCTATTCAAGAATCAACCAATAATCTGCGAGTTAATGCACAGAGCATAGGTATATAAGGCTGTATCTTTTCCCTTGTATCTCATTGTCTTCGATATCACTTCGGTGCAAGCAGACATTAAATATAGCTATTTCACACACACACACCCACACTTGACACACACTTGTACCTATAGAAAAGATAACAATATTAAATTAATTTACCAGAAACTTTCACCTTTAATATTATGGTATAAAATGTGAGATTATAGTATGTATTTAATATATTTGTGATCCTTGATTTAAAGTTGTATATACATGTAACAGACTGTTTAATGTTAACGCTTGTTTATCTAGCAAAGGGTTTATTATACTTAGTTTTATTGAAGAAATATACCAAAATTATATTTCTAGGGCCTACACACAGTGATGATAGTTTCACTGTTTTTAATGTATTTATGATAATGATTTTGGACACATCTTTAATCAATAGATATTATAAGTAGATAGTGACTGTGATATTTCACAAATAATGCACTGAACTACATGTATGTCCAGTTACTTCTTCACTGTCTATAAAATACTTTTAAATATAATCTTGATTTTATTTTTTTAAACACATTTACTTTCAGTCCTATTCTTTGATCTCACATACATTAATCTTCTTTCTATTCCTGTATTTCATACAACCACACTCAAAGTGTGGCTATATTTTGATCACCCTTGTGTGTCTGTCCTATTCATAATAATTTTTAGGTTCCTGGTTGGGGAAATTAGAGCTTTAGCCATTTTTGATGACATATACAAGCAAGTAAATGTGTTGTTTCATCATGTAGTTGTGTCCTATTGAATATTTATGATTTTCAGTGATTATTAACAGAGTTTTAGCCTTTTATTCAAAAATATTTCTGTAATATGCTAATTTTTCTGACAGACTTCCATGTGGTGATAGCTCCTGTGGACTATGTAGACAACAGAATTATCAGTGGCTGTACATCATGTATAATTATTTAAAGTTATTTTTGATCACTTTATTCTAACTGTAATATTAGTTTGTGACTTGCCTTTAAAATTTTACTTAAAACTTAAAAAAAACATAACAACCATGCCTTATACCCATGATATATATGTGTGGTTTAATGTTCGAGTGTTGTTTCAATATACTCTTCAAAGAAACTGCAGAAATGCACTGATGTTTTTAATAGAAGCAACCAGTGTGTGTTAATAACTGGCCAATTGTTTACACATAAACATAAACAGTTCATATGGGCGGCTTATCTGATGGCCCCATTTCTCTGGCAATGAGATACACTGTCAAAAGTAAAAATGGACGTTTTTGATTTTTGTCTTAATAATGAGTAATTGCTCCACCAATCCTTAGAGGCATGCTCCTAATCAACCATCCACGACCAATTCTTGCAGTGTTGTCGGTTGAAGTTGACGTCGATAAACACGTCTCCCAATCATGTCCCAGACATGCTCTATAGGGGAAAGGTCAGGACTCATGGCTGGCCAAGGCATATGGACAATATGGTGATGCTGGAGGTGGTCATTCATGACACGAGCGCGGTGGGCATGGGCATTATCATCTTGAAAGGTGAAACTTTGACCTGCACGTTGAGCAAAGGGCAGAAGTATCGGTGCTAGGATGTGGTCATGGTAGTACACACCAGTGACCCTTCCTTGAACAATTCCCCATAACAGACCCATGCCCAAATCTGTCATGCTGCCTGGCGTTATCGTTAGCATAACGCTCATTTACACACCTCCAAACGCAAGCTCTCCTATCGGTCAAATCCAGAGTAAATCTGGACTCATCTGAGAACATTACACACGCCCATCAACGATTACCCCAATTCTATGCTGCCTACACCATTGACATCTATTTGCCATGTGCTCGTGAGTTAATGGACGCACAACACGTGGTCGTCGCGCATGCAAATGGGCTGCATGTAGGCTTTACAGGACCTGTGTACAAATGTATCGATCCTGGGCTTATCATCAACATTGTGTGTTTGTTGGTACCGGTTCCACAGTCTGCTGATCACAGACTGTTACACATTAAGCATGTTGGCTACTGCTCGCTGTGTAGAACCCATTTCAAGCATGCCAATAGCATGTAGACGTTCATCATGCTTAAGAAGTCTCATTGCAAATTAAACATAACACACTAAAACAAAGATATGCTAAACAGTAAATCTTATATGCAAGAACTGATAGGAAAGCAAACATGGATAGGATAAACCATCACGCGTCAGTTTTCATAAACCCTTCCTTGAAGTGTCATATTTGACAATGTACCCCTCCCACGTGTATGGCGCTATTGCTTGTCGCACGTGCAACTCAGTGGTTCTGTTGGGGCGTTAAGTTCTTCATCTGTGAACACACTCAAAGCATGTCAAGTGTTCATGACTATCATATCACAACCTGCATAGGTATTTGCATTTCAATATCCCCTACTTTTTTTAAAGAGTATATTATGCAGTATCTTGCTCCGACCATTAAACAACTTAAAATACTGATACACTACCTTGCAAGCACATTTCAATGAAATTTTCATGCAAGTCCAATATTTCATCTAGTATATATAATTGCCAGTACCATTATTTATAATGAAATTTTTAATAGTTTACGATTGGGACTTCTTTTACCCTTACCAATTTAACAAAGATGTAGGCTATGAGATTTATATGCAAATTCTCTGCGTTGTTTTTTAATTATTATTAATTTGGCAGGTTATATAAAATAATTATATGTACAGATATCAATAGTCATATTATAATTAACTGTGATTTAATGTTTTATATATTTGTTACTACTAAACCGGTTATATATTATGTTTGTATTTTAGCTTAATGTTGCATATAGTCATTTATTGGTCAAGATATTATATAAATCCAAGATGCAATGAAAATATGTTTTTCTTTCCTTTTGAAATTATCTTAATAATTATGCCTACAAGCCAGAAACATAAATAATCAAAAATAAATTTTAATTACAACAAAGTTGATATTATGTAAGTTTGTGTTGTGTAGGCTGTTGCAATATTAATATTAAGTGTAGCCATTGTTTGATGGTCGTTTACTAAAGAATGTTATGTTCTTTTATTTAATATAACTGTGCCAAGAGATCTATTGGTCTATGCATCTGGAGTCGACCAATCACATGCAACACATTACCAAATGTGTTGCATCCCCACATGATTTTAAATCAAGATGTGGTGGAGATACCAATTGAATAATGAAACAGTGCATAAATTTTGGTGTAATTTAAATTGAATTAAAGCGATGCCATATATTCAACATTTATTTTTAGATAATGGCCAAATTGATTTAGCCCTAGGTTGTTGTAGAGATTATTCTTGTTTTATGATATTAACAGGGCATTCCCAACCATTATTATATTAATATGGTAGTCTAACATGTTTTACACTTTAATCTTATTATATTCTAGTTATGAAAAATATAAAAAATAGCACTCTACAGTTTACTTTTTCTTATTTTTAATATAGCTAGATTTATCATTTTTCAATTCTATTCCAATAATTTGCTTGTGTGTAGGAGTGAAAGGTAACGAGTGAGAGGTGACAAGAGAAACCACACACGATTGGATAGGCGACACATACAAGCTTGGGATCGAAACCAAGCCATAGACATTTTGATGTCACATGCATGCGTTAGACCATGCACCCCCCCCCCCTCTCCCCATGAGATTTAAAAGGTGTGTGTTTGGGGGTTATAATGGTTGGAGGAGTTACAAGGTCAGTAAAAATTACATGATTTTACAACTGTGCCAAGACATCAATAAATAATACAATGAAAGTATTAATTTTTTAAAAACAAATGAATTACACTTAGAAAAGCTAGCAATGTCATGACAAGATTAATACAAATTGACATTCAGTAAAATATATAATAACATCATGGCCTAAAGTATCCATGATTCAGAAATAGTCAAAAGATATTGGTATACAAAAGTTTAATATTCCATTGGCGACTGGCAATATTAAGACATTCAAATGGTAGGAGTTTTTCGTAATATAAAATAATATTCCTAACAATTGTTACAAAGTTGCACACTTAAAGATATATTCAAAATTTAAAAAAGGTTGCCAGGCAATGAAAGGTACATCTACAGTAACAACTGACTAAATTATTATCAGAAATAGTTGAAATGTGATTGGCTTCTTGTCTTTCCCAGTGCTAACATTTATTATACAAAACATATTCTGGTAATCTGATGAGTTATTGGAAACTGTTGAAAATCAAAAAGCCTATCCTAGAGTGTCCGCAAGAACTTTCAAATTGATCATGAGTACCGGTAATAGCTATTTAAAATCAATAGGATTCTGTTTCTCATGAACATAAACACTGTGTATACATTTAAAGTTAATCGGATGATATCTTCAGCCTCAAAAACATCTGATGTATGGATGGATGAGGTGTGAAGACAATATAACACCACATTTTAACATAATGTAAGACAGAAGAGGTTGCACATGAAACATTTTATATAATACATAAACACATGACATGATAAGCATGAAAACAAATGCTGATGAAAGGTTGTATAGTGAGCGCTGAATACTCAAGTAATACTTAAAATATCTGATCGTCATTTAAGGGATTTTTAATCTCTTGCAAACTACAATATTTCGAAAATTTAATCTCTAAAAGGAATATCAGTTAAAAAATTGTTCAATTACAAAGAGATTATGAACAGAAAATTTGCCAACATTCGGCATCCTCTACAAACCATATAATGAGAATATGGTCTAAACAAGCCAGTGCCACTATAGTCGTCACTAAACTACTGAGTGACAGCAATATGACTGCATTAAAATGTGAGTATATAAAAATAAAAATGTGGATTTGACTACAATAAGTTTGGTATTCAACAATAAAATTAACAAACATAAAGCTCAATAAAAGTATAAAGTGGTCAAAGATTTATAAACTGATAATACATGAATCTAAAAAATAAAAATAGTTTGAATATCTGTATATATGGCATTTTAATATCCTCAAAGGTATCATACACCAATTTAATAATAATGACACCTGTATTTTAATCTTACAACTCTTCTAAAACAAGTGTAGAAAAGAGCCCAGTCCCCTTCCTGTATGTGGCTTTAGCAAGGATATATAATGATATCAATTGTCGATATATGCACTTAACTTAAATCTTAGAATTATGATAGTTCTTACAATTTTGATAGTTCAACACATGCTATCACATCAATTTTGTATGGGAAACATATGGCTGTCTTATGACATAAACATATAAGTTACAATATCTATATAAGTTTTCACTGTGTTTAAATTAACCAGATATTAATAAATAAATGACATGGTTTGTGTGCGTATTAATACATGTACCTACTAATATAAGTATTTTCACATAATAATTAAATATAATATAACAGTAACAGTACCAAGAAGTATCTTATTTTGATCATTTCCAAATACATACAGAAATAATTATGTTAGGATGGTACAGAATGAATGAATGTAATGTGGTTAAATAGCACGCCAGCACCAACCGGGTGATATTGTGCCAAACATAATGGTGATTTGGGATGGCACAGACTTTATTATAGTTTTCAAGGCTACTAAAGGATGAAGACTGTTGTATTAACAATATACAGTCAGTGAGTTAAAGCCTGTGGACTCGAGCATCAGAATTATAGCGTTGCCTTACTGTTTAATACCACAATAAATGAAAGTAAAATTGAACGTACACAATTCTGGAGACTAGATGCTTGTAAAAAATGTTATTTTCTTTTGAAGAAATACAACATAATATTCTATACAAAATAAACAAGAAATCATAACAAGCTACAGGCAATAAAGTACAGATAGCATAAAATAAAACAATAAAGTATTCCAAAAACCCAGAGTAAAATATAATTGTAAACCAAACTGATTAAGATAAGATCTATATTTCATTTCATTTTTTTTTATACTTCCGATGGCCTACACTACATGAAGATCTGACCAGTTGTAGTGGTAGGTCGCGTCAGGGGTCGTATGAGCGACTTTTGACCCTATGACGTCAGACATTGAATAATCAATCAGTGTTGACGTTTCTAGTGGTTTACCCAGTTTCATGCATCACAAGCCAGGAAGTCGTGGTAATTGATCGTTTCATTGGCTAATCCCTCACTTCAACAAAAACGCAGGTTAAATAACAACTCTTTCAGATCCTAGTGTTGTGACGACAAGTAAAACGAAATTTTGAACTATAAAAAACAAAACAAAATGGGATCTGTGTTTTAATCAGATTGAATGTAAACAGAACAAATATCATATAAACAAACAAGTAAACAAAACAATTATTCAAAAAATACTTTGCATGAAAAAAAACAAAACATCACTGATTACTCTGAATTTAAACTGTAAATCAATCAAAGTTTTAAATATTTGAGACAAATGTTGAAAATAGAAAAACTTTGTCATGTAGATACAGAAGTTATATTAAAAATATATAACTGAGTATTTTAAACTAGAACACCACTTGTTTACTAGAACTTTCACAATTGGAAAAATAAATTTGAATAAAATGATTTGGTTACCATCTAAACATGGAATTCAGTAAGCAGTGGCAGTAAATAATATCCTTTAAAAAAACACCTTGCTTATACAAGACAAATATATTACAAAATGCTTATAAACAGATTTTGTAATATATTGCATTGACTTTTGAGAAATAACTACATTTCATACTTTGGTCTGATAAAATATGGATAACAAACATTTATAATATATATACACACCTCTTTTTTAAAATGCAGATGTTATTACTAAGATTAATATTATTATTATTATTCTTTTTTTTTTATTGGGGGAAGCTAGATCTCAGCAACTATAAGAGATAGAGGTTTAAAATTTGATTTTCTGTCAGAAAAGTGGTGTGCAGCTACTGCTTAAAGCTATTTCGAAATTTGTGCGCATAGCGGAAATGCGTCAAATCTTTAACGTGCACGGAAATTGAAAATCGGCCATTATTCTCTTAATTCTCAATGGATTCTTCAGATATGAACATTTTTGGATAGCTGGAGACATTTCTGAGCAGATAGCTGTTCTAAACTGTGGAAATTAGAAACTTTGTCGCTCTCATTTTTTTTGTGAAAAAATGTGACTTCGAAAAGTAAGGTATTTTGCGATTTCGAGCAACTTTAGACGCATGTTTCTCGGAAACGCCCCCCAACGATTTTTTTAAAACTGTCTCAATCGAGAGATAAATGGATACTCTGTTGTGTGAAACCACTGTATCATTTATTGAAATGTCAGGGGTAGCCGAAAAAAAAGATCGAAAACGTCGTATTTTTACGATTTGAAGCATTTTTAGAGGTCTATTTCTTGAAAAGTCAACATAATATTTTTTTGGAACTTCTTCTACAGAGAGGCCTATCAGTAGTGTTATATATAAAACCATTGTACAACAGTTCCAAATTTCAGGAGTAGCAGAACAAAGGGATCGAAAATGGAACGCGGCACCTTTCATTGTTAAGCGAAACATAAGGGGGGATACAATCTCTACGTTTTGTCAACGTATAGAGTCTATTCAAGCGTCTATTCAAGCGTGCTTTTATCAGTGATGATATTTGAACTGAAATTATTTCAACTATGAGTGTTTTCTTCTATCCAAAATATGGGTTTAGTGACCCTGTAACAGAAATAGTTGATTGCTGTGTGTAATAATTAGTCTTTGAATTAATATTGTTGCTTCTTTGTCAAAATTATCTTATACCGGTAATCATCTGGACAGAAATCGACGGCTCGCGCTGTTTATAAGAAAGTAGTATCGTACGGTAGTATCGAATATTGCACCTATGATGAAAGGCATGACATTGTTTGAGCATGGACTCTATCTGTAATTAATATTAAATTTTTATTAGTGACGTCAAATCTTTAACGTGCACGAAACCAGAAAATTGGCGATATTTCATTGAATATTTAATCAATTTTTGAACCAGTTACATTTTTGAGTAGCTGACATGAACGCGATTCCAAAGTCCCTTGTACACATTGGTGTGACCGTAAAAGATCCCTTGGCGGTTGAAATTCTATATAAAAGAAGACTAGCGCCGCTGTACGAGCATGTTTAGAGATCATTTCGGGACTAACATATGGTTTATTTTTTTTTTATTTCAATAATTTGCTTGCGCATAGGGGTCTTTAGTAGTGGGAGGAAACCAGAGGACCTGGAGAAAACCCACAAGGTTGGACAGGCGACCCTACTCATTGTCACGTACAACCGGGTAATGGAAACCCCGCAAGTTGACTCAATGACAGACCGTATGATACAGTGCAGACCCAAAGGCTAGCCTGCCGTGCAAATTCCAGCCAGCAGAATGTATCTATATAAGAAACATTTATTCCTACTGGCGATTTACAAATATTGCATGAAGAAATTCAAATCATAAGAAAATAAACACGACTTATACATAGTATCATGTTGATTATAAAAGTACAGTGTA